AAATTTATTCCTTTTTCCTTCTCATAAAAAACACCCCATAAAATATACATAGACCATGTATATTTATAGGCAACATAAAAATAAAGAAAAGGAAACAACAAATCCTTCTCCATCTCTAATTCATATGTCTCAAATCTAATATGATTCCAATATCAAGTTGGGCTATGAGTGAGAATCCATTGGGCCTATTATTTTATTGGCTACAATGAATTAATAATTGGCCCGGTCCATGGACCCAATTCAATTAATTCATAAATTAATTTCTACTCCACTAAAAGAAATTAATTGAACTCCAATTAAATAATAAATAACCTCTAAGTCAATATTGCACTTTGACCCCTCTATGCATAATTAATTATCGGATAAATATAGCCATCAATCCGACTACTTAATTAATATATTTATTTTGGTACCTTTGATTATTTCTGGCTCGATCACAATAAAACATTTGTTTGACAAAAATAATAATTTAAATAAATAAATATATAATAAATCATTTTGTCTAAAAACACACGAAGGCCTTCGAATTTACTTTGTGATCAACCATAATCAATACAAAATAAATACAAGTAGCAATGATGCAAATATTGAAAATATAACCCTCTAACTATTAATTACATAACTACCCAAAGTGTCGGTCTAAGGATCCCGAAGAATCCGCCGAACAAATCAAAGTAATTATTAATTAATAAAAGAGTCTATACTTTTCTCATGCTTAAGAGTCAAATGCCATGACGGTGATAGGGAGTAATTGCATACGACGGCTCTCGCAATATATCTCAACCTAACGCGGATCCAGTTCAAGTCTTAATTAATTATGAGTCCATCCATAATTACCGACTATGAACAATTTATAATTACTATTTATATATCATGCATTGATTGTCATCACATACATATATATAAATATTTCTTGTAATTAACTGGACACTATCAATTTCATAGTGAATTGAAACATAATACATTGAATTCACCAATTATATAAATCATAAATATTTCAGATATGTCAGGAACATATGTCAATACAATCCAGATAGGAATTTGCTATGCCAGGGCATATAAATCCCAACAAGAAGCTCTATAAACACTTCCTATTTATAGTAAATTACTAGTACATGTCAAATAAATTTCCTGTGTATAATTGAAACCTTAAGGTTCACGCTGGTTTTGGACTATGGTCAGTAGGAGAAATTATTCATATCTTTACACGACAAATAGCTATTTAATATACCTTTGGCCATTTCTTTCTACTAAATATCATCATATGCATAACCAATACACCAGAAAAAACAATAGTATATGCTACATGTGATACATGTATTTACTTTCATTTTTTCATATTATTTTTTTCAATTGTGCAGCATCAAGTACACACACTAATCCATTTAGTAATATACACAGCTCTTATTATGCAAGCTATGTTCATATATATACACACATTTCGAATAAGACGTGTTTAAACTATTTGAAGTCAAATTTGGAATCCATTTTTATATTCTCTTTCAGTTAGCAATAGCGTTGTTGCAAAAAGTTTAAAGAGCTCCTGCCTATAAGGACACTATTCTTATTAGGGGTGAGCAAAAAATCTGTCAATCCACCAACCTGATCCGATCCGTACGGATCGAATCGGATTACTAGACCCACGAATCGATGGCGGATTTTAAAAAATTGAATCCGTAGTTCATGGATCGGATCACGGATTAGGCTGTCAAAAATCCGATCCGATCCGTAAGTGTTTTTTCGAATAATTTGGATAACTACTGTCCTTTTGGTTATGCAATATTTTACAGTTTGATTATTCTTGTTATTATGCATTTAAATTGGGTTAATCTATGTTCTATTATACGCTTTTGTAATTGGATATGAAATTGGTAAAAAATTAAAAATAGATTAATTTGGATAATTCAGTCCACAGATTGGATCCGATCCGTGAATTCACGGATCCGATCCGATCCGTGAACTAACGGATTGGTGACGGATTCAAAATTCTCTAATCGTTGTGAGCAGATCGGATTAGACCTATTTTTAGGAATTTGGGAGAGAGAATTAATTAAGAAAAAATCTTTTGCAATAAGAAAACAAATCAAACTTTATTCTTTCTCCTCTCCATGTTCTCACTTTCTCTTTCTTGGTTAACAAATCAAATCTTACTCGTGATATTATGCAAGCCAATAGTGTTGATAGTATTCTTAGACAATAATTTCCAAAGAAGACAATTAAAACACCATTCCACCCACCTCCTTTTTCAGATCCATCGTAATTTCTTCTTCATCAAAAGATAATGGAAACGACTCAATCTATTTAAGGATCTTTTGATTCATAACTTAAAGAAAATCAAACCTTCAAGAAAACAAAGCCTCACCTATCTTCGGTAATCCGAATTGATGGTATAGAGAGAGAAACCATGAATAAAATGCCGATGGAGAGACTATTTGACTGAAAGACAAATGGTTAACTAAGAGAGAAGAAGAGACAAATTCTTTGAAGGTTAAGAGAGAACGTGAAGAGAATTTAGAAAAAAAAGTTTGATTTGTTTCCTTATTACAAATGATTCTTTCTTAATTAATTCTCAATCTCAAATTCTTAAAAATAATAGTGTGATTTATAAGCGGGAGTTCTTTAGACTTTTTGCGCCTCGCAACAGCATTACTCATAACAATAATGACATGTTCTTGTTCTTTTCTTCTTTTATGATATTATTTTTCCGATCTTATTGGTATTGAATCCTTATCCTGCTAAGTATGGCAAGATTCTGCAAGGTTCACGTGCCAATAAAATTTGAGATCAAACCCAAAATTATACTCATGCCTATTATAATATTTCCTTTGAATTATTTTTATTTTTTAATATTTGACAAAAGTCTAGGTCAATATTTAGGTTGAGTCCGGATGGGACCGTGTAAAATAATTTGTCAAAAATTAATGAGTAAATTGTTTTTTTTGTTAGATTTTAATATATATTTTTTTTCGTAAATATTTTATGGCAACTAAACACCAAAAAATAAAAAAATAAATTATGAAAAATATTATACTTTCGAATAAACGGAGTCTAAGTAAAAAAATAAGTGAAGCTTCTCACATATGCTCTATAACCAATATTAGCATTAAGAGGATTTTTTTTATTTTTTTTTTTTATTTTTAAGTCTTGTTAAGCTTCGGGCGACTATCCTAATGTCTTAAAGATGAAGCGGGTTGTTACGAAGTTTTGTAGAAAAATTAACACAACATGCTCGAGTACCTATAGACAAATCTCATCATCTATTTTGATTTAACATTTTGTAAATTTTTGAAATTTAGTTTAAAGTTGAAACATCTTTGTAGCTCTGTGCCAACAACTTCCACTAGCATATTTTCAAAATTTTTAGAGATCTTAGACGAATTTTCAAATGCGAGGCCTTTATACATAAAGTTTCACACAAGGAAAAAAAAGGTATATGAGTGCAAAATTTACATTAAAATCAGACGATAAGCACATAAAATATATTAAGATTGAAAACATACAAAACGAAAATCAGTCTTGGTACTTTATAAAGAGTACAAACTAATTTATATTAAAATTTAAAAATTTTAAAAATATTCAACACGACATATTCACAAAAATCAAAATTCAACTTCATATCAAAGTAAATGTGATCGTCTTACATTTTGAGATGCAAAATTATAAATTAAAGTACTCTAATCATGGTCATAATTTTGTTGTTTGAACTAAACTGAGTTTAAAATTTAATTGTTTGAATTGAATTTAACTATCATGCACACCTGATCCCGAAACTAATTGTACCCTTGAAATACCCAATAATTTTTTTAATCAATTAAGTGTCGGTGCTCTCCAATTTTCACAATTTGAAAGTTTTTATTGAAAGAATTAAACATTATCTAGAGTTACTTTACTAAAATTTTCTTATTTAACTGTTGCGTTGAAATATTTGTTAAATGATTCATAACAACTTTTATTACAAATTTAAAAATTAGTTTAAAGTTGAAACATCTTTGTTGCGGCCAACATCTCCCACTGAATAATATAAAATGATGGAACGTGATCTTCATTATAGGAGGCAAACCAAATCAATTATTTTGTTTTCTAGTATATAATAACAGTAATGGCGTGTTCTTGTTCTTGTCTTCTTTTATATGCAATCCTTATCCTGCAAAATAAAGTAAGAAACTGCAAGGTTCACGGACCAATAAAAAATCTCATCACCATCTATTTTGATTTAACATTTAGATTTGGTGACCAAATCTATAATTTTATTCCAATGTCTTTTTTTTTTCTTTTTTCGGAAGTTGATTTTATTCCAATGTTGTTTTCATCTATTTTGGTGACATTTTATAGTGTGGTTAAATCCAAAGGCGTGATGACATTTATGTCTTTTCAATCAATGAGAGCACACTTTTAAAAATTAAAAAAATAATAATGTTGTAATAATAGAGCAGCAACAGACAAAAATAATAATAATAAAATTTCTTTGAAGAAGGCCTTTTACTTTGTCATAGATTTATATTCTTATACACTGATTGCTCAATGACCCTTTGAAAGTTTCTATATACTTGTCATGAGTTGTCCCCATTAAATTGGTTAATTAGACCTTGTTCTGTATCTAGAGGTTGCAAAACAGAACGAGTCTCAACAAAAAAGAAGATGTTTCTTAGATTTGCTTCTTGGATCATCTTCCTTCATATACTGCTTGTGATGGTAATCTCTAGTATCTATGACCTCATTGAAATTTGCTATAGTTGTCACTAGGCATTAGTAGTTGTTATTGATCAAAATTGGATGGGATGGTATTGAATTTCAATGAAAATTTGGAAATTCTCTAAATCAACTGTCTTAAATTATTCAGCTTTTCGACCAAGATTTTGCAGATCTTTTTTTCGGTTTGTCTTCAAACTTATAAAGAAAAACCGATTCTTTTCGACACTTCCTTGGTTCAACCATGCTAATTACCAACTATTTTGCAGTGTGATCATGGAAGTGGAGCAAGAGAGGCTTTGAAATATCCCATGGATGATGATGGCATCGCGGAAGGGACTAATGCCTTGCGACTCCATGGCATGGATGGTGATCATGACAAGGATGGTGATCATGTTCACAAAGCCTCACAACAACATGCCATGGAAGATCATGTTCAAGTTCATGATCATAAGCATAATGGTGATGTCCATGGTCATCCATCATCCCACATGGATCACATGGACCCTTCATTGATTGTGTTCTTCATTTTGGATGATCTAAAGGTGGGGAAAATAATGCCCATCTTCTTTCCCAATAAAGACCTCTCCTCTTCACCTCACTTCTTGCCCAAAGAAGAAGCTGATTCCATTCCTTTCTCGCTGCAAGAACTTCCCGAACTTCTTCAACTCTTCTCCTTTTCTCGAGGATCTCCTCAAGCCAAAGCCATGGAAGATACACTTAGACAATGTGAGATTGAGCCCATGAAAGGAGAGGTCAAGCACTGTGCTACCTCATTAGAGTCCATGCTTGACTTCACGCGTGCCATTTTCGGATTGGAGAGTCAATTCAAAGTTCTGTCAACTACCCACCTCACAAAAACGAATTCCAATACCCTTGTACAAAACTATACTGTTTTGGAGGTGCCTCGAGAGTTCTCAGCTCCGAAAATGGTGGCATGTCACACCATGCCTTATTCTTATGCAGTGTTCTACTGTCATAGCCAAGTGAGTGAAAGTAGGGTGTTTCAGGTTTCACTAGGGGGTGAAAATGGAGATAAAGTGGAAGCTGTTGCTGTTTGTCACTTGGATACCTCTCAATGGAGTCGTAATCATGTTTCCTTTCGTGTGCTGGGAATCGAACCGGGGACCTCCCCGGTGTGCCATTTCTTTCCGTGGGATAATCTTGTTTGGGTTCCATTGCCTACCTCAATAGTTCAATCTAGCTAGCTACCTAGCTATGTAGTCTTATTGTAACCTTTGAAGTCCTACTACTTGATCTAGCATGAACTCATGCTTATCTGTGTAAATTTTTCAATAATGTTAAAAAAAAATAATAATAATCTTGTGTGAATTTTGTTTCTGTAATTGAGGATGCATACTATGAAATAGTGGAGACTCACCTCGTGCCTTGTTGGCCATATCAAGTTTTTCCCCTGTTTGGAGAATTTTAGGGCTTCCAGAAGTACTTTTCCAATGAACCTTTCTACCATAACCCACTAAATCTATTTTGATTATTAGAGAAAACAAAGGATTTGGGAGTTGAAATTTGTATTGTAAGATTCACAAGTGACACCAAATTGCTGTTAATTCATGTTAAAAAAAACCCTTCCATAGTCTTCTATTTTTTCTTTTTTTTTTTCTGTCTCTGAAAGAACCAAAGCCCTGAAATAGTTTATGCACCAAACCACTCTAGGTTTGAGTATAAAAATATGCAACCATCCATTTTGTGCATGAATCATGCATAAAACCTTTCATTTTCCTAGCATACTATTCTACTGATTAATTGGTAAGTAGAATACCAGAGTATTATTAGTTGGTTCTTTATGATTTCTATGGCAGAAAGATAGCTGTTTGAGAGTTGCAGTTGCAAATCAGTGAAATCAACACAAAAAATTAGGGTAAGAAAAAGAAGAAGAAGATATATGAAACTAGAATGGCAAATCAATGGAAGTGAAAATCGAACAAGAGATCCTCCATGGAAGTATTTGTTTTCATGTATATTTTTGGTTGTTGAGCGCAGAGAGAGAGAGAGGTGATTGATGTTCTTCTTTGAAGATGTGGGTTTGAATACGCAGTGTCTGGTGGTTAGTGTTTATTTAGTTCCCACATCAGAAAGATAGAAAATGAGTTAGTGGAGAAAGGCCTATATAAATGAGTGAAAGTTCAATGGCCAACATACTTACCTGGACGGGGTCAATGGACGATCAACAAGGCCCATGGCCTAGGTTGGCGGCCTCCATTGCACTTAGGAGGGGCGCCCGCCTAAGGTCTGTCCAAGTGGCAGAGCCTACGTCATAATTTGTGGTAGTGGGGGCCTGCGTTCGCGCGGCCCCTGCCCAATTTTCAAAACCCAAGTCTTTTGACGGCCCACAATTTTGGGCTTGGTAAAGAGGCCTTGGTCCTCTCTGCCTAGCACATTAGAGTTCAGGGTTTGAGCTCGAATATCTTCAGTTCCTCAAAAAGATGATTGTATCACATCAAAATTAAAAAGTAAGCTCTAATTTCTCAAATGGGCGGCAAATAAAATTTTTGAAAAAACCAATTATCCATATTAGGTTAGACTTTGTATTATTCAAATTATTATTTTAACTAAATTTGAAGTATTTTCCTTCACTCATGATTGGTTTGACAAAAAATAAAAAAAGATCCCCCGCATTATCATGACTGGTTTTTGCGTATTCGGGTGCTCCTATTTGACCGATTGGCATCTGTTCGTTCTTGCCATTCTTCCTTTAGGCCTTAATCCATTCCCTCATCGCACAGGTCGTTCCGTATGTGACGCCTAGCTTCCTATTCATTTCCGGGTCGCGGGACCCACCTATTTCACTTCTTGATGCTCAGATGCGTGAAGTGGTGAAGCCTTCATTCAGAAGCGAAAAACGAATCTGCTCCTGAAGTCACTTCTTCTGATCTTTCTCCGCGCGAGTCACCTGCGGTTCTTGGAAAGAAAAGAAAGAATATATATAAAAGGAATGAAGGAAATAATTGATATTATGGTCTTTAAGAGAAAATTGAGATAATTAAATATTGGGCCAGTTAACCAACTGCCCTTTGATTATTGGAATGGGCTTCAAGAACTGGGCTTAAATATGATGAGATGACGGTGCAATAGTCCACATTTAAACGGTCCACCCAATACCCAGAAGCAAAACTAGTATCTGAGCTCTTCGAGTCCATCAATCGCCTCAGAACCTCTCTCTCTCTGCCCCTCTCTGTGAAATGGTAGCATCAGCTATCTCACCGTCTTTAAGTGTCTCTCTCCCTTCTAGGCACAGAGCTTCGCCGCTTTCCTTATTTTCTCACAGGTAATCAGATACCTTTCTCTTTCTCTCTCTCTATATATGGTTTGGTTTAATTTTATTTGTTCACGAATTTTAATGTTAGCATTATCTTTAATTATTGTTCTTAATAACTCGTAATGTTTACTTTGCACAGATTATCAACGAGATCAGTAGTATGTGCCTTGCCGAGTCCTTACAGTGATTCCTCAGCTATTGGTACTTTTCCAATTTAGTTTTACAATTTTGAAACTAATTTTAATATTTATTTATATTTTGTGCTATAATTATAGAATAAATTACTAAAAATGAAAACTTGGAATTCAGCTAATGACTTGCTGCTCACTTGGAGCTCAAATTGATTTAATCACTGTTCTACTGAGTTTTGATACCCTAATTAGGCTAAAATTGATTCGGATAATGTATTAATTTGAGTCGACTCTTTCCTAGTTCTGAAATCTGGTACATAATGATAATCTTTTCCCCCAATCACTATTGTCATAAACTAGATCCATCTGCACATATAATATTCATTGGTGTATTTGTGTTTTGTAATTATATGTGCTCGTCTGGAGATAGTAATTATTAAATTGAATGTTATGTTGTTACCAGGATTATCTAGTAAAAGATGTGGACTGCCTTTAAAGCACAACGAACAGGATTTCCGTGCTACTACTAAACCAAGGTTTATAGATTCTCTCATTATATGCCTTTGAATATTACTTGCACACACATTGCATAGTTACTTGTTAATGTTTTTATAAAGATTATGCATATTAGCATTGATGTATTCAGTAACTTTTAGACTTTTTTGCCTTTCTATTATCTTCAAAGACTGGTTGGGATTTACGGATCAATTTGGGAAATTCGAATGCTAAGTTCTGACATAGTTCAACCAAGATGGTCAAACCCAGATTGTGATTAAAATCATTAAAGTACTCCATCACTTTGATCTTCTAGTCCAACTGCCTAAATAACATAAAGGTTGATTAATAGTCTTAATAGAAGATAGATTTATATAAGATGAATGTCAAAATTCTGGTTATCAATTTTCTTCTTTTTTTTAAATATATATAAATAAACAAGAAGATGAATTTCAAAGCTCTATAGAAATTTCAAAAAAAAAAAAAAAAAAAAAAAAAAAAAAAAAAAAAAATCAATAAAACTGAAAAACAAATAGATAGACGGCATAATACTGTTTGGAGCCAAAATTGTGCACTACCTTTCATCTGCTTTGTCCTAGTTTCAGAAAACTGGTTCAGCCCTGGATTTAAGCACGACTAGGTAGGGCCAAAGGCTTAAAAGTTAAAACTAATGTTATACTTCAATTAACTTTGTGTTCAAATTCTTTAAATATAGCATGATGAGCTCTCACCTTCCGAAAGAACAACTGTTATGTCAACAATGTTTAAAATGGTGATTGTTTTAAAATTCAACTTTGACTTGCACTACACCCGCCAAAGAGGTTAGACTGGGCATGTTGGAAAATTATAAGCTTTGAGAGTTTGCCCCAAAAGATAATCTACACACTTAGCTTTCAAAGGTTTAAAACCATGTTACTTATTTATTTATTTTTTTGAAATTGAGGAGGATGTACATATTGATTGTTCTTTGAAAATTTAATCTTGGGTTACCATCTAAGCACAAAAAATTGGAATTTTGGAAGACAAATGAGAAACAGAGAAGATTGTGCACTACCTTTCATCTGCTTTGTCCTGCTTTTAGAAAGCTGGTTCAGCCCTGGATTTAAGCACAACTAGGTAGGGCCAAAGGCTCAAAACTAATGTTATACTTAAATTAACTTTTTGTTCAAATTCTTCAAGTATAGCATGATGAGCTATCACCTTCCGAAAGAACAACTGTTTTGCCAACGAAGTTTAAGATGGTGATTGTTCTAAAATTCAACTTTGACTTACGCCACACTTGCAAAAGAGGTTAGACTGGGCATTTTGGAAAACTATAAGCTTGAGATTTTGCCCCAAAAGATAATATACAAACTTATCTTTCAGAGGCTTAAAACCATGTTGCTTATTATTTATTTATTTATTTTGTAAATGAGGAGAATGTACATATTGATTGTTCTTTGAAAATTTTAATCTTGGGTTACCGTCTAAGCACAGAAAATTGGAATTTTGAAAGACAAATGAGAAACAGAGAAGATTTTGCAGGCTGTTATACAAACTGGAAAGTGAGGCTGGGGTTATAGAATATCCATTGAAGTGCTTGTTTGAGTACTTAATTTGGTGTTATACCTTGTGAACATTATTAGGGCATAAATTTGATGAATATCAAGGTATATTGGTGCTTTCTTTGTAGTTGCCTTTGGTTTGCAAAAGAATTTTGCTAAAATAATTCATTTGACACAGGATGACACGGCACTTCTGAAAATGATATAATTATAATAGGATGTGTACTGAAGATAGAAAGGAATTAGGTTTAGAGGGAAACACTGCAGTATGCTTTATATTATGTATTTAAGTATTCTATGCATTGTCACAAAATCAATTACACACTTGCAGGCATCCAACGTTTCATGGTCCATCTTGTTTCAGATGCCTGATATATTTTTTATTTCTTTCAGTGATGTGATATATTTTTTAGTTCTTCAGTGATTACCATTCTGTATTACCAAGGCTCAGTAGAATAACAAGTTTGTGAACATTTCATTTTGTAAATAGTTATGGTGCAACAATAGAAGCCAAAAGGGGGAATCCACCCATGATGCCAGCTGTCATGACTCCAGGAGGTCCTTTGGATCTTTCGACTGTTTTATTTAGGAATCGCATTATCTTTATTGGGCAGCCAATCAACGCACAAGTGGCTCAACGAGTTATATCACAACTTGTGACACTGGCAACTATTGATGAGGATGCAGATATTCTGGTGTAGTATATTTTGATATATTTTAAACTTTTTCACTTTTTTAGTTTAGATATTGAGGATACAACTCAATGGGAAGCTGTACTCTTGAAAATTATGACCATCTCTTTTACTATGTCAGGTTTATCTGAACTGCCCTGGTGGGAGCACCTACTCTGTGTTGGCAATTTATGACTGCATGTCTTGGGTGAGGGTGCAAAATTTGTTCGTTTAATTGGGTTATATTAGATTTTTATTCCGTACAGAACAACATTTAGTTTCAACTGCACATTTGTTGTAAATGTAAATGTTGGGGGGATGTGATGTAAACCTTAGTGCAAAATTTCATCAATTATTTGTCTGAATTTTTCCCTCTTTGTGTTAGGATGTGTATTCTACAATTTTTTTTTTTTTCTTTTTAGTGGGTGAATGCGGTTGGATATAGCATAACAAGTATACAAGTTCAAATATTGTAAAAGCTTCAATAATGTGTTGCGTGTATCTGTCCCTGGAGGAATGATTTAGGTTGCTCAAGATTTTGACGGAACTTCCCAAAGGCAAAGTTAGTTTGCTGGGTGGGTGGGTTGGTGTGGGGGTGCTGTTGGAAGGGTGGGTAGATTTGTCGTTAGAGATCAGAAGTTCATCAGCACAGTTTACGACATATATGATAGGAATTCTTAAATGCCATCACTGATATCTACAGGGATGCCATGTATGTGTAAAACTTTTTTTTTGATAAGTACCATGTATATGTAAAACTTACTTCAAATTGTCATGGTTATTATTTGGTTATGAATTCTATTGGGACCCATGCAAGATCTCCTTAACAAAGTTGAAGGAAAAGGCTGATTATTGGAAAGACAACTAAAGGAAGAATTAGTAAATATGAAGAAGACACAAAAATTAGCCCCTTTTTCTCAAATAAAATAATTGGTGTTATCATACGTAGATGAGGTTCAGGTGGTTCCCGTAGTTACACGTACACCACTTGTAGATCTATTCCTATTTCTACCATTATTGTGTGTAAACCTAGGAGGTTAAGCACATCTTCTCTTATGTGACTGGAATTTCCATTATCATTCAAAGATAGAAATTTCGTGATTCTGTGCATTAAACTTGAAATTCATTCTCCTTTTGTTTTTTCATTGTATATCCTTTTAATTCTACTCTTTGCTGTTATTTACAAACCTTCTTTAGCTTTCAGATAAAGCCTAAGGTTGGCACAGTATGTTTTGGAGTTGCTGCAAGCCAAGGAGCAATTCTTCTTGCTGGTGGAGAAAAAGGAATGCGGTATGCAATGCCAAATGCACGTATTATGATCCATCAACCACAGAGTGGATGTGGGGTATGTGCTGACTCTTTGATATGGGTTACTGTGTCTTTTGAAAGTAGGCCTGTAAATGAGTCAAATTCATTATGGACATGATTAAACTGAATTACAATCCAAGTATGTAGTCAAATATGCCAAGGAATCCTAAATAATTGAATCATCTTTTAATTCAATATAGTTTGAAATTCCGAAATTGATTCTATTTTGAGACAAACATAAGTGAATATACTTTAAATAATAAATCAATACCATATTTACATAATATCTTATTAGATATTAAATTATCCCCACAAAATAATATATGAATTATATAATTAAAATTAAATTATATACATAAACTCATTTGCACTCATATTGTAATTGGATTGAATACCAATGGATTTAGTTTGATATGATTATATTTAGATTTCCTAAGTTGATCAAATTTTAGCCTAGTTGATAGACTTATTTGGATGATGAATCTTTTGGAAGGGTAGGAAGAATGAAAGCATCCATAATCCATTTTGCAACTTGAATGTAAGGTGTTGAGGTCTTTTTTGACAAAATACTATTGCATTCTCATTTTTGTGGAGAAGTCTTTAACGCCCTTTATTTTAAATCTAGTATTTGTATCCCAATTTCAGTGCGCATTTGTCATTAATAACCAATATACTTTTCCAAAATTTGTGTCACATTTCTTGAATATACCAGATTTTATCACATGTACGTGATATTGAGTTATCTTGAATAAATTGTTGTCTTGAATGAACAGCAAAATACTGGAACACTCACAAATTGTATCTTGAATGAATTGTTACAGTTATTTCAAAATGGCACAAGCTTTTTTCAACCTTGCTATGTTTCATCCACTTAAATTCAAGTTGGGGTTTGCCTGGCTTTGTTTTTTTAAGGTTTTTTTTTTATATATTTATTTATTTTTATGCTTGTAGGGTCACGTGGAGGATGTGAGGCGCCAAGTGAACGAAGCAGTTCAATCTCGCCATGTTAGTATCTCTTCCCATTTAGTTTCATTGCATTAAATTGCCTTTAATGCAATTTAACTGACGTATTTTCTCTAGTATATTCCCAATTGGAATCAAACTTGTAAAATGTGATTTTGAATTTCTTTCAACTTTATCGACAGAACTGATAAATCAAATTGTTCTTTTATTTGCTTTAATTATTGAACATTGCACGATTGAACTGAAATTTAATTTTTACATGAGCAATCCCGGAAAGTTAAATGAAACCTACATTGCAGAGGAATAAACACTCTATGTGGCATTATGGAAAGTCATATCTATGATTTGGTGATGAAACTTCTATAAAATAAATCCAAAAAATTGTTATTTTATTTGCTTTAATTATTGAACATTGCAAGATTGAACTGAAATTTTATTTTTACATAAGCAATCCTGGAAAGTTAAACGAAACCTACATTGCAGAGGAATAAACACTTTATGTGGTATTATGGAAAGTCATATCTGTGATTTGGTGATGAAACTTCTATAAAATAAATCCAAAAAATTAAGGATCGTGGCTGTTATGCCTCATCCTTAAACGCTTTCACAGCAAAACATTGGATATCATTAGAACACATTGGATGTTTACATCCCCCTGTATTAATATTTTTTTTTTATAATACTTCACTATAGTCACATTTGTTAGGATACAGATCTCTTCCAAGAGCAATGGTACCTGCTTTTGGCTTGGTGGTATCTGCTCCGCCTCCCCAAACCAGGTTGAGGGTTCAAGCCTCACTTTTGAGGCAAAAAGCGTGTGAGTTGTTTACCGAACCAAAAAAAGAAAAATGATCCTCCTATTCAGGACTCTATTTTCAGTTAAAAAGATAATATCAAAAGACCTGGGTCCTCGCTGTTGTGCAAGGTTGTTTATTATGCTATTGTTAAATTGATGGTATCCATTACTGTAAAAGTTACATTAAACAGGAAGAATCAGGCTGTATGACTGAGCTATTTCCGAGATAAAGGCATAACAAAATTAAATATAAGGAAATCAGTTTCCAACAATTTTCATTATTGAGTTTTTAAAATATCTCGCGCAATACCCAGGGGTTCTTGGATTTGGATGAATTTTATGTTCTGCTGGCTGATTTTTCCAGTTTCCTTGACAGCTTTTGCTTTGTGACTTGCATATTTAGAACTTTTGATCTATATGCACTAGTGCAAATTTATCTAGCATCTACATTTGTGTGATCCTACTTGTCTCGACGATTTGGTGCAGAAAATTGATAAAATGTATGCTACTTTCACTGGCCAACCTCTCGAAAAAGTGCAACAGTACACTGAGAGGGATCGTTTCTTGTCTGTTTCGGAGGTAATGTTACTCCATCCTCTCTTATCCGGTCTGAACTTACACACCATTTCACAAATGCATTATGGAAATCCACCCTTTTACCACATTTTTGCAGGCTATGGAGTTTGGTCTCATTGATGGGGTCTTGGAAACAGAATACTAGGCTCAAAATCATCCGCCAGAGTTAATTGTTTTTATAACTTCATTCATCAGATTGTTCAGGCAATTCTCCATTGAGGATTTAGAATCGTGATGTTGCAGATGATGTCCTCAACTAGACCCTACCAATTCTAAAAACTTACTTGATTATAAGGTTTCCTCTGTAGATTCAGATGTAATACTGCATGTGGTGTTAGTGACCTAAATGTGAATGCTTATTACTGAATTTGATGTACAAACTTGGGATTTTAGGCTTTGCTCCATCTGTTGAAGTGTGGTTTTAGTATTTTCCTGTTTTTTGATGTGTTTTGGTTTTAGAAACAATTTGTTCACGAACTTGAGAATATACTAATTACTGAATACGAGGCAATTTGTAATCGGTGATTGTTCTTGTATCCATGTTGTTTGATATTTTCTTTCTCATAGTTTTAATCACGTATCACTGAATTTTTTAGATTTTAAGACTCCTGGATATTGAGGTTTCTTTGTTCTCCTTTAACCATATGTTCATGGATTTATTTAGTAATTCAATGATGTTTTAAGATCATATATGTTTTTTTGCCGCCTTTTTACTCTTATCTCGACTCTTGAGTATGACGCCTATTTACCAATCTTTTAAACTTTACTCTATACTATAGTATTAGTTGATTGGCCTTTTTGGGTTTGTCACTTTCTTTGAAATTTTCAACGTCTTTACATTTTCTCTGTATCTGATTATCAAGACAAGAATTGTTATATTACATTTTCTCTGTATTTCATTATCAAGACTAGAATTTTTATATTTTATTCTTTCTGGTTTCTAAATAAATTTATGGTTAAATGGGTATAATTCTATCTCTAAAATGATTTTTTAATTTTTCAATATTCTTTCATGGGATTTAGTTATTCTGTGAATTAAAATTTTTACCGTCTGTTTGATTTAGTTATCAGAAAATAGTTTTTTTTTTTTTTAATATAAAGTTTGGTCTGTTTTAATTCAACATTTTACTCCAACTAAAATTGAATAATTTTTATTTTATCTAAGCAGTTGAGAGTCACAACACCTTTTTAGTTCAATTTTCCTAAAATAATTTTTAGAAAACTATTAATCCAACGAATTTTGATATTATTCTCTATTTTTAAATTCTTTATAAACAAAAAAAATAAACCAAGCAACCTCAAATTTTCTAACGTCATTTGAGGGTCCATCAGTTATTTGTATATTAATCTATACAACATCTACATCTCCAGATATTTCTTTGCATTCAACCTTGATTTTTTTTTTTTTTGGGCAAACTGTTTTATTTATCATGCCTACCATTCATATCTGGAGGCCCATGAACTCAAGTGACTCTCTCCTGAGATGACACAATTCCGAGTTTCAACATTTTTTACAACATTTTTTTAGCTCCACGTATTTCTATATTTTTATCTTAGCAAAAATATGTTTTAATGATATTTTCCCTTCTTTCAAAATAAAATTTTGAGTCTCCCTAAAACATCTTGCAAGTTATTTACCAATACAAAATAATAATATAGGAATTAAAAATAATAAAAAACAAAATTAAATCTTTATCATTAAATTAAGAAAATATTTTAACAAATTTGCGAAGAAATCTATCTTCCCTGCTACCATTTCAGAATTGACTACCATAGTAAAAAAATGTGCAGAAATATTCCTTCAATAATAGTTTTACTGTTAGTCTTTATAATTTAAATGCACCCTCAACTATTACTTTCTCAATATTTATAGTATTTTTTCTCATAACACAAGATAACATATATGGTTGAAATTATTACATAAAAGCATTGAAATTACTGCACTCTCCCCCACCTAGAACTTGTTGGTTAAAAATGACACCATCACTTCTATATATAGGCCTCGTATATATTAATATTTAGTAATTCTAAAAAATTTCACTCTTTGAGATGGTTCCAAACTCTTTTATAATATTTATAATCTCTCTAACATTTTAGAATCTTCAGTTTTTTATGTAATACTGCATATAATTGTATGATACTCTAAAACCTCATTGTACTAATATCATGGAAACATCATGCAAAGTTCTCAACCTCTTTGCAAATAGGCAGGGTGACATGAGAGTGTAAATAGAAAAGAAAAAAAGTACAAAATCTGTTTTTGTCAAGCACAATTACATTATAAAACATCAAAATAGTTCTCATCTTTTTCAATTTGTTTTTTAAATTAAATTATATAATAATTATTGATGTAAAAAGATAAAATAACACACCTTGAAAAATGATAACTCTCACTCACATCAAATCAGTCAAAATAAATATTGTTTAACGAAAATATCTCATTTTAATTTTTATAAAAAAGAAAACTACCTATACTTCAAAAATTAAAATGACTATTTAGCCTATCATAGATGATGGACCCTACCAACATGTCCATTCCATTACTTGGCTTTGAAGACCAAAATCTACTATTACAAGTTCCCATTAAAACTCCATCTTTCTTCTTCTTTGGCAAAACGCCAAAAAGATTCATTTACTGTCTTCGGACCAAACTTGAGAGGATGTTTAGGCTTCAAATCTGGGGTGTCAGAACATTTTACCCAAAAATCAAATATGAACAAAGATTTTAATTGTAAATCCGAGTAGTTCATGTCAAAAAAATGAAGTTTCTGCTGCCACCCCTTTATCCAAAATTCTGGACAAATGATTTTGAACTTATGTACTCTATTGCATTGTTGTAAAATATGTAGGAAATTATAAAATGAAAAAAAGATCAATTTTTTTTATTATTTTCTAGCCTATGGTTAAAATTAAAAAATGAATTACCAATTCTTAGAAAATGGTTGAATTATTTTTAGCCTTCACAAAACATCTGGGAAAGGAATTCATGGCGCCAAAAATCAGGAGCAAGTTGGGCAATTGTGAGAAATGCTTTCAATTTAATGGCACAAACAACAATTTTGAAAAGAAAAACTTCATCTGCCAGATAATGGAACTCGAGCACAACAAATTGTCCAATATTACCATATGCTATCCATGACTGAGTCCTAATGTAGCAACCCATTTATCAATAAGACAATGAGTTCAGCATAAAGCAATTCAAAGATTTAGGTAAAAAAAACTATGCTCAAAGATTCAGGTAAAAAAACTATGCTCTTTAATTTTAAACTAGAACCACAATGCGCTCGCGCACGCGCGCACACACATACAGACAGAGATTAGTTATTACAGGCCAAACACAGCTGTTTACAAATAGTTAATAAATCAGGAACTTCATCTGATAAATATTTGGACTCAAACATTTCCTTGTACTCTATTATATGTTATACCCGCATCCACCAGGACCACCACATGCATTTGCTCATTTACCTGATGGAACCAATAAATAATAGAACAATTCAAACCAGCTTGGTTGAAATTTAGATTATAAAATTTACTTTTAAATATATTGATAATACTTCATAAAACACAAAAATCATGAGCAACTAAACTTTCAAACAAAAAAAAAAACGAGAAATAACAAATCTTTTTTTGGAAATAAATAAGTCCTCATTCTTTCTTAATATTCAGAGCTAGGTTCAGATCACTTGCCTTCACTAACCACACACTGTATATATCCTAACTACCAACGAGATATAATATTTTTTTTCAATCAAATCAAAAGACGAAAGATGGTACCATAAATACACAAATAAAAAATCAATTGACAGTATAAAATGATTCTATTAAAAGGAGTAGATGTTTGACTATGAATGATTAAAGAAAATAATGGTTGCAAATAAAACAGACGTTCTAATTCTTCACCTCTTAATATTATAGTCTTTAAACATCATTGTGATCTCCTACAAGGCTTTTATCAAAGCCCTAGTTCACTTACACAGGGTTCTATACAGGGATCTAAGAAAATAACGATTATGAGAATATTAGGGCATACATACCGTAGTTTTGGCGCACCATTGTGAACTTGCATATGGCTTTTAGTAGAGAACCATATTTCATGGACTTCAGTGGTCCCACATGTCTGTAACACATAAGAAAGCCGAAATTCAGTTCCCAAAACACCATGTAGTTCACAATGAAGATGCACGTCAACCACTGCAATCCCTTAATTCATAAAATGAAGAGAGAGGGAATAAATAATCAAAACAAACTAAATATATTCAAACTGATGCTGAAGCAATCTCTTTTAGAACTCATTATTGCTTCTGAAGTATTAATGCATATATGAGAAAGTATATAACTAATTTAATCACTCTGTTGAGAAAAACAACTCACACAATCTCAGTGTACCGAATTCTCCATGCAGGGAACCCCAGGTGGCATCTTGCCTGCCCATAAACTAATAGGAGGTCAGGATCCGGGCCTCCAGAACCTAATAATACATGAACATCAATAACCAAATGGTTAAATATAAAAGAACTCTGCTGAAAAATGATCTGTAGTCCAATGAGTAGATCTGAGAAGGAATAGAAAAAATAAATAAACCAACCAACAGCTCTTAGTGCCTCAGCCACGTGAGATTCTGTTAAGATTGGCTTTTCCTGATCTCCACCCAAGTAATACTTCCCAAAAAGCAGGCTAGCTGCTTTGGCCACTGCTTCCTTTCCGTCAGAGAATGAAGCAAATTCCAGAGATAATTGGCTTTTATCAAGAAGCGGATCATTTCTGGTAGTGTCCTGCATGAAATGGATGCAAAAATGGGTGACAAGGAGAATAAAAAACAACGCTAAGGTGGTTTAAGAGCATAATAATGTCAATATCTTATATAACCAGAACAGAACACGATAAACAAAGCTAACTAACATAGTTACATATATTTTTAAGAAAATGCGTGGAGTGTAAACATCATCTAGAAACAACTAACAAGAAATGAGAAATGAATGAAGTCCAGCCTAGACAAATAACAAATATGGCTGGTGCAAGAAGCCTAAAATATTACTCTGACCTGAAGAACATAAATTTTTCCAAATTAATTAGCTATAATCTAACACAAGGATGGCTGGATCACCGGTACTAAATGCATGAAAAGCCTCTCCACATGTAAGAAACTCCTGTATATGAACAGTGGTGATTGGAGATACAGAAACTGTAAATCTAGAATTAGAATATGATACCTCAGATAACTTAGCATTACTCAATCTCTCCAAGATAGCTTCCTTGGATTTCTTCAGAACTCCTACAGCAGCAAAAAGTACAATGAATCATACTTGTTACACAAATTTGTTGCACACACGTCTTTATGATTCAAGGAAGAGATAGCACAAAAAGCACCACCATAACTCAGTTTCACCAAGGCGCAGTACCTTCAGTATCATACAGGCAGACATGCTTCACACCAATAGCTGCCAGCCAATGCAATAGTTCAGTAACTTTTGCTGTGTCGTGAGCTTCTTCACTGTCTACAACAATCGCCAGGTACCGGACTTTGCCGATGTTGAGGGCTTTGTATCTCTTTAATAAACCAGCAGAGATGAGGTAACTTTCAAGAGCATGAGCTATACCCGCTAAGAAGTACCATAAGCTGATGATAAAGTGTATGATGTGCCAGAGTATCAGAAGCCCAGTATTGCCGATCTGCAAAAAACTTTAAAGACAAGATGAGCATCTAATTTGAACTTTTGAAAAGTATGTGTTTTGGATGTCTTATTCGACACAGATGCAATGTGCCAAAGCTTATCCCTCCTAGTCAAAAGTGGCCCGATGACTAACAATAGATTAGAAACTCCAAATGGCACAGAAATATCAGGTTGTGCAGCTCTTCATACCAAAATCACCAAGTTTATCTCATATCCAATTTATGGAAGAATTGAATGATTTGAGCCATGGGTTCTTTCCCCAATGGCACTGGAACGAAATAATTATATGATATACAAAAAAATCCTATTCCACTATATGTATGGCAGAATCCATCTTATCCTCTTCAAGATCTATGATTACCTACCAGCTGCAAAAAGTGGTTAACAATAAAGAGTTTGAAGAAATTTGCATTAATTGCCCAATAGACCATTGCATGGCCCAAGTCAATGGAGGACGACCTATGACTGATATCATCAATGGAGTAGACCCGTGATTTTTAAAAATGGCTCCATCATTGATTTGCTGCACCTCCATTCTTAAAGTGGTGGTATTGTCAACTGCTTTGGACAATTAAAAAACGAATGATTGCAGTTCCATCAGACATCCTATGCCTCCTAATATAAGCTAATATCATCCTAACAGAAGCCAACAATATTAGTATAGATTTGAACGTCATAAGGATGGCATCAACTAACAATAATAAGCCACCGGATTCTGCAATACACTCAACCAATTGGGATCCATAAAAAATAAAAATATACTAATTAGAGTGTGCTCCAAAATTTGATTGGGCAAAGATAATATATCTTTACAGTAATGAAAAATTCATTTCAGTCCAATAAAAAAGAATTATCAACAAATCAATGATAACAAAAAATAAACTTAAAAGTACTTACTTGCGCAGTCCAGTAAAGAACTTTCTGCATTTCATCTCCTAAATCCATTATTCTACAAAAAAAAAAAAATTTAAAAGATAGGTAAAAATAAAAATATATACCATCATACCTAATTCAACCACCCAAGTAAAAAATAATCATCCAAATATCCTTATGAACAATTGCAGAACTATGTTTATACTCCACACGGTATGATATGTAGATGCATAGATACATACATACATGTATTATTAAGTTGAAAGAAGGCAAAAATTATGGATTTTAGGATCTAACTTTGATTCTATCAAGTCAGTCGCCATAATTATATGTGACATCAATTTTAGCTTCTTTGATCTGAAAAGAGCCTAAAACAAACACGGACAGAAAAACAGCAAGAGCCTATTGAGGGCATGCTTCAGATATGCATAGCATTAGCCAGAAGTGGGGAAAAAAAGTTTATGCATCTGAACATCACAGAAAATTTAGAGCAAGTGACATAACAAGAATGAAACAAAACCTGAATATAATATCCAAAAGAGGGATAAAAAAAATTTACTGAAACCAAGCAGAAAACTTTGGAGGAAATTGAGAGAAATAGCTGATCAACATACTTGTCTTTCTTATCGGCTCTATGAGGCATTTGGTCTGTGTGATTGTTAGGTTCAAATTATTGTAAGCTTTTATATATAGTGCATCTTCCTCTACCCCTAAGAATTGGAATATGGATGTAGGCTCCACCAAATCCATTGAATGGACTAATGAGAGAGTATTTACAACAAGCAATGCTTTCGGATGCGAAAACAATGTTTGTTGGGTAACTCCTGGTAACTTCTAGGATCCTCTAACAGGTGTCTTTTCATGTATGTTGTGTAGTGGAACAGGTTCATTTCTGGAAATTAATGGATTTTAGAGCCTCACTGGTCATGTAAAATCTCGGACCCATCAGATGTTGACTGATAAAAGAGTATTTGAACACACAATTCTGATTGATTCTCATGTTCCATACGTGCTATTGATAATAAGAATTTCACTTTTCTCAATGGGATTTTTTATTTCAACTGATAAAAGAGCATTTGGACACTCAATTCTGATTTATTCTCATCTTACGTACCTGCTATTGATAATAAAATTTTCATTTTTCTCAATGGGAATTTTTATTTCATTTAAAATGGTATAATCTCAAAACAAGGGTATCTTCTTCTTGATTCTAAGGGGTGGTTTTTCTATTGCTAGTTTTTGCCAAAGGTCACACCCAAATAAAAAAATAAATAAAAATAATAACAGTTTTAAGGATATGTGTGACCTTGTCCTCCAATCAATGTATTGTTAGAGTGAAATAAAACATGTACAATTTCAAGGCACAAAACAGCAAATTCGATCCAAGAAAAGAAAAAAAAACAGTGTGTGTAGTATCTGTGTGTATGAGTTGTCATATTTCTTCAACAAAATAAAAAAGAGGAAGATATGGATCTCTGAAACAAACCTTAAACGGCATGTGGTGATGAGGTGCAATGGACGGCAAGGTGAAGGTGAGCTTGCGACTGGTGCAGAGCAACTAGGGTTTCAACATTCAATCCTCACTTTTCAAATTGTAACTAGTAGTATTACTTTTTATATACATGAACCGGCGGTTACTCATATTAGAGAGAGTTGGATTAGGAGAGATGATGTGAACAGTTAGCTGGTTCATAAGAATTCCATGAGTAGTGCCATTCAAAGTAGCAACGCTATTAATCCTGCCACTGTAGGGAGCATATGCCGGACCACTCGCAAGTTTCATGTGCCGCTGCAGTAAGGGGTGCAAGTTGGGCTTGCCCAACTCAAGCCCGACCCAGCCCGATCTCGGGTTCTACCGGGCCAGCCTAAGCACAACATTGACCTCGGGTCAGTTCGGGTCAAGCCCAGTTCTGAAATTTTGGGGTCTGGCAGGTTTTCGTTGTTGTTATTGTTTGTTTTTTTTTTTTTTTTTTTAAGGTAATTCAGTGCCCAAAAATAATAAATAAATAAACAAAATTTATTTGGCCAGAAATTTAGAAATCAAAGGAAGTTTTACCTCTTTTTAAAAAATAAATAAATAGGAAGAAACGATATTAAGATTTATCTTCTATATACATATATATCAAACAAAATGCCATTGAAATGGGTCCTTTAATTTTTCTGGGTACTGGTAGTACCGTTAATGCTTATCCCTCCCTCTTCAATCTCCCAACAACCAAAGCCTTGATTTAAGCAAACCTTCTATCTTTTTTTTTTTCGCTTCAGACATCACATGAATTTAGAGAGAGAAGGAAGGAGAGAAACTTTGCATGCCAAATTTTTATATTAGGAGTGCGTGATGGAGTGATTGCAAAGCAGCAAAGGTGAAGTGGGAGGTTGAGCAACAACCACCACAACAGGTGGTGGCCTTCAATGCTTTGAATCAGTCTGCAATATTGCTAATAGAAAACAGAAGAAGTGTTTTTGGGCTAGGGGCGGCAAGGAGGGGAGGCAGCGGCGACGGCAAGGAAGGGAGGTGGCGGCGGCGACGGCGACGGCAAGATGAGGAGGCGGTGACTGAAGGAGATATTAGGTTTTAGGTATTAAATAAATAAATAAATCGGGTTTGGGTTGAACTCGAGCCCAACCCGAAATGCCTCGGGCTGAATAATCTCAGCCCGCGTCCAACCCAAAATTGAAATAAGTGAACTCGAGCCCGTCAAATTTTGAGTTGGGCCAAGCTGAGCCTGCCGAACTTGCACCCTTACACTACACCAGAAATTTCTTGGGCACTGCAGGTAGCGGTTATTAAATGCCCGGATACTCGCAAGTTCGCAACAACTCACTTTATTATGAGAGTTTTAAAAGAAAAATATATGTTTTATAAAAATCCTATCATGTGTCATTGTACCATAAATTTATTGGGCACCGAGGTAACGGTTATTAAATTTTCGCTACTCACAAGTTCACAACAACTCAGTTTATTACGAGAGCTTTAAAAGTAAAAAATATGTTTTGTAAAAATCCTATCATGCGCCACTGTACCAAAAATTTATTGGGCTCCACTAGTAGTGGTTATTAAATGCCCTGCCACTCGCTAATTTACAACAACCCATTTTATTAAGAAAGTTTTAAAAGAAAAAATATGTTTTGTAAAAATCCTATCATGTGCCACGGTCCCAGAATTTTATTGGCCACCATGGGTAGCGGTTATTAAATGCCATTCCACTTGCAAGTTCATAACAACCCATTCTATTTCGAGAGTTTTAAAAGAAAAAATATGTTTTGTAAAAATCATATCATGTGCCATTGTACCAGAAATTTATTGGGCACCGCATGTAGCGGTTCGCAACAACCCATTTTATTTCAAGAGTTTTAAAAATATATATATGTTTTGTAAAAATCCTATCATGTGTCACTGTACCATAAATTTATTGGGCACCGTGGGTAGTGGTTATTAAATATCTGGCTATTCGCAAGTTCGCAACAACCCATTTTATTAAGAGAGTTTTAAAAGAAAAAAAATATGTTTTGTAAAAATCCAATCAAGTGCCACTATACCAGAAATTTATTGGGCGCCGCGAGTAACGATTATTAAATGCCCAGCCACTCGCAAGTTCGCAACAATCCATTTTACTACGAGAGTTTTAAAAGAAAAAATATATTTTGTAAAAATCCTATCATGTGCCACTATACCATATATTTATTGGGCACCGCGGGTAGTAGTTATTAGATGCCCCACCACATGCTTACGCACACCTGCCCACGAGGTCGCTACATGTCATAGAGATTAAAGTCCAACATCAGAGACGTTCTCACCTTAAATATGTTGCGTCTAATGGTTGGCCTTTTATCTCGATGCATGTGGGAAGGGGGATTGTATGCACCCGGTGCAATTGGAGAAAAGTGAAGTGCGAATATCCCCTCCCATACACATATATATATACATATATGTTATAGTATTAAGTAATATATGTTTAGTATATTATCAGATTGGTTATTATAGATTAACCATAATTCATATTTTGTTGGTTTAGTTAACAGAGAAAAATGGAGTGCGACTATCACCTCCCTAAAAATAAATTTTATTTGTCTTCTAAAAAATAATAATTTATTCAATGGAGATAATAAAAAATAAAAAAATAAAAAAAAATAATCTTATTTTTTTTCCTTTATTTTTTATTTTTGGAACTTGACAAAAGAGATCATTTTTTTAATGGTTACTTTTTTTTTTTTTGTTTTGGTCCTGTTAAAAGTGACAATTTATTAAACATAATTTTATTTTTGTCCCAAAAAAAAATTAAAAATGTTTTATTTTTTATTTGGTCAAGAGAGACCTAAAATATTAAAGATTAGAGATAAGGAGATGAAATTGAAAAGACAATTATTTCATTTAAAAAGTAATAATTATGTATTTGTAAAATTGAGGTTAAAATTATTATTTCATTTAAGATTATAATGTAAACGTTAAAAAGTGAAGTACAAATATCACCTCCTACCCATATAATATTTACATATTATTAAAATGTTGTTTATAATTAATTTTTTTCTTCATCTCATATCTATGTGCCTGCAGGAAATATCTCACTTCTATTATTAGAAAACAAGGTCACACAAATGAAATGGAAAGGATAATAAAATGGTAAAAGTAGGGAACATACTAAATGCAAAGTAGTCCGGACCCTAGACTTTAATATTTGTAGAATGGTCGTCACAATCATCATTCCTAAAAATGAGTCCCACAAAAAGGGAGTCTCTAACATCCTCTTTTTGTGTGCATTATTAATTATAGAAAAGCAGGAAAATAGGAAGAACTAAATGGTCCATCTTTGTTATATTAAACTTATTTTTTTATTATTATTTGATTTTTTAATTATTAAATTAGTAAGAATAAGAACTTTTCCTAAGGAAATTATCGAGAAAAAAAAAAAAAAAGAACTTTTCTTAAGGTATCAAAAAAATTCTAGAAGTATCCACATCATTTAAAATTTTATTTATTCCACCGCCAATGTAGTACCTACAATTTACTCAAAGTGCCCAATAATTTCTGGCTTGTTGGGCACTTTATTGGTAACTTTCTGATCAGAAATTTAATGCGAGAAGGAAAACTGATGAAGATTCTAAATTTATTTATTGAAAATTTGTTATTTTGAATTTATTGCAAACAACCACACAATTTTGACTTATGGAACATTTGAAGTCTACACACGTGGACACACCGGCTGGTCCCTCAATCCCAACAAAAAAAGAAAAAGGAAGGGGAATCTTAGGCAGTGATTTTGGTTAATACTAAAAATAATTGTTTTGTTATAAAAATTTGTTTTGGATAGAAATTGAATTCACGATTAGTAACGAAAATTTATTTTAGTTTATTAAAATACACAATATCTTTAATTTAGAGATATGAATTTGTGCAAAAAAAAAAATATAATATGTTATGAATTATTCCAAATTAATATTAACGGTCAAAAACATGATATGAGCTCAAATTTGAGGACTGATATAAAAAAAACATTCTAACAGACAATGATATACATGGTCCAAAGGGGAAAAAACAAAAATGCAAAAGACATGAGATAAAAGAAGGATGAAATGATTTCCATCATTTTTTGTTTCCCACTCAAATTAAATAATATAAAATTTGAAGAGGAGTAATGTTACGATTCGATACCCAATCAATTTTGAAAATTCTTTTAGTAGATTACTTTAGCTAATCATGCATGTCTTCCTAGATGAAATATATATATACATTTTGTGTATAATCAATATTAGTAAATAGTTTTGAGTTTAGAATGAACTAAAATATGGAGGACGAGAAATTACAACGTAATGTTATTTGGATAGACAACATATATTAACTTTTCAGATATATATTGACTTTTCAAGATGAGGAGTTTTTTTTCGTGTAGTTGCAGATATAGTTGATTAATTGTTTGTTATGGTTTATGCTGTTAAAATCCCACTATAATCAAATTATATTGCAATAATGAATGTTAATGAAGGTCGAAAGTGGTTTTGTGGACACAATAATCCTACAATCCTTGGTTTTTTAGTAAGAAGGATATGCATAATCCTTACCATTTCAGTACCAGTAACCCAAAATGGTTTTATTTGAAGTCTCTCCAGGACTGAAAAAACATATTCCAATAACATGGTAGGAATTGACTGGCAACTAAAATCTTTTAATAAGACGAATAGGTATGTAGTTGAAGTTATAAATGAAAAAATGATTCTCAGGCAGAAATTATTTAGCTGAACGCTGAGTTATTCGTCGCCACTTAGATGCATTTTGATACAGTCACATGGATCTCACACGAATGCATGGCATGTCCACAAGTAATTTGGTTAGGGTTTTCGGTAAACAAAAACTCTTACACAACAATCAGTTAAATAAAATATCTCTTATTTTAAAGTATTTATATGAATAATTGCTAAATTATAGAACTTTTAACTGAATAAAATTCATGAACAATTTTGACTTCATATGTTAAAAGCTTGATTCAGTTTGTTCTTCAAGTGATTGGAGTCGTCAAGTTGCTGGGGCGGAGCCACCAGGATTTTAGTTAAGGGGGAGGCGCTGTGTTAAGAAAAAACAAATTATTTAAAGTAGTAGAATGGAAAAAAGAAAAAGAAAAAAAAATGTAAAAAAAAAAATGACAACTTAAAAAAGAAAAAAATTTAAATTTAATTTAACAATAAAAAAGATAATTTTTAAAATTAATAATTTTAGAGGGACATTATATATATATATATATATATATATATATAATAAAAAACTACCATATATATATATATATATTGGGCGAGCCAGGGACAAGTGCCCTTATGTTACAAGTGAAACTTGTCTCACATTAAATTTGGATGGGGATTGAAATGTGTATAAATAGGTAGGTATGCAGCATTTTCCAATAATTTGAGCTTTTGGATAAATGGACAAGCGCCCATCTGTTATAGTTAGTATCAGAGGCAGACCCAATATTTAATTGTGTGACTTAAGATGTGACCACAACGAGGGCGTTGGAGTTAGGTAAAGGCCCACCCATTACACTTGGACTCCACCCTTTCAAGTTTCACAAAATGAATTCATTTGGGCTAGTCCACCCATGCGTGTGTATAATATTTATAATTTTTTTTTTCTAGCTAAATAATGTATTTCTTATTGATAAAAACTAGTCGATATTTCTGCATAATTACATATTCGTGAACAATCTAAGTTGAGTACAGTTTCTACCACCCATCTTGGTCAACAGTACATGTCTCATACAAACTCACCCGAGTCGAATCAACCCTATATAAATACAATATTGAATACTCCGTACAATATTGAAATTGTGACGGAAAAGTAGAGGGGTTAAAACAAAACATCTGAGAGAGGCGCGAGATTGTGCCCCAAGTCCAATTCAGACACAGCGTAATGGCAGAACACAAGAACAGCGACGTAACAAGACGGCAACGAACCGTATGAAAAACCACTACACCCATCGTCCTTGTAAACCCTAAATACCTCATTCTCTCTCTGTATAATTATATATACATATATATATATATATATATCTACACTATACTTTTATATATGTATATATTATATTTCTCTCCCTAGATTTTGAGTTTCACAGCGAAGCTTTAATCGGAGAGATTGTTTCTCTCTCTAGATTTCGCATGTTATCGAAATGGAAGCATTGATCGAGCTCTTTGACTTGATTGTTTAGGGCCATGTACCTTGGAAAAAAGATTGTTGACATATTTTCTTTCTTTTCTATTTTTTTTTTCTTTGTGCCTGCTTTCTCTTTCTAGATTTGGCATTGGATTGACATGGAGGCTTTGATCGAGCTCTGCGACTTGGTTGCACAGAACCCCGTGCAATTCGCCGAGAAACTTGCGTGGATGTGCGGCAGATGCCCTCAGCCGGAGTCTCTCCTTGCCGGATCTCCTAGGGTTTCGCGGTCTCAGCTCAATGCAGTGCTCGCCGTCGCTAGATTTCTTTCCAAATGCCCTAATCACAGCGATCTCCGTCCCAATTCGGTGGTGCTGGAGTTTCTCCGTTCTATTCCGGCGTCTTTCAGTCAATCTTTCTGGCCGCAGGCCTTCGGAAAGGACTCGATTGCTTCGTTTTTTGGTGAATTCTTGGGTTACGTCTCCAAGGCTTCGGAATTGTCGTCGGATTTTGCTGCCGACGTTTCGGGATTCATGGGACAGATTGTGATCTCAGCTGTAGTCAATGTGAGTGGAGACTTGTCCATTTCTACGGCTTTCTTGAGTGCTCTGTCACAGAATTTTCCACCCATTGTTCCTTCTGACGCCGATAAATTGGTTTTGTGTCTGCTCGATCACTTTGTGAGTTACGTTCCGAATTCGCCAAGGGAGTTTGTTTCGGCAACCCCGGAGGCTTCATCTTCTCAGAGTTCGCCGCTCACTGCTGGTCATCATCATTCTACCAGTGCAGGGAATGAAGCGAGTAATGTCTCTGGTTCCTCAAGAAGTGATGGTTCGAGGATTGCTGATGACGCCGCCACCACTGCATCCTCGAAGGGATCAGTGATGAATGGGGTTAGTATTGCGGGGAAGAGCAACATTGATCAATTGGTTATGAATATTGGGTTCAATGATGGAGGCGGAGGTGGAGGCGCATCGAAATACCGGCAACAGGTTGCTGCTTTTGAGGAGGAGTCTGTGGAGAACCTTGAGAAACAGGAAATTGCATTCAACTTGATTGGGCACATCTTGAGTAAAGTCCACATTGATCCCAAACTTTTGGAGCAGGTCAGAAATATTGCGAAGGAGCAGCTCCAATCAATGTCCGTTTTTCTAAAGGTAAAGTTTATGTGCATCTATAATATCTGATTTTGTTATGTGGTTACTAAGAAAGAAAATTAACTTCTTGGAGAGAAGGGATAAAAGGAAGTGCTGGTTCAATCGTTGGCTTTTGTGGGCAGATAAGGAAGCGTGACTGGACAGAACAGGGGCTGCTATTAAGAGCTAGAATCAATACAAAATTGTCTGTTTTTCAAGCAGCAGCTAGGTTAAAAATAAAAAGTCTTCGAACCCTTGACTCAGATGGAAAGTCATCAAAGAAGTTGTTGCAAATGGCTCTTGCGTTGTTGATAGATGCTGCCGAAGCATGTTTAGTTTCAGTCTGGCGAAAGTTGAGAGTTTGTGAAGAGCTCTTTAGTTCCTTGCTTGCAGGAATTGCTCAAATTGCAGTAACTCGAGGAGGCCAGCTACTACGGGTTCTTCTCATTCGTCTTAAACCCCTTGTTCTTACTACATGTGTGCAGGTACATTTATTAAGTACTCCTGGACTGGCTTCTCTATCCTAGACACATTGTGATAATTTGTTTTTGCACAATAATTTCCAAACAGGCCGACACTTGGGGCAGCAGTCAGGGAGCAATGTTTGAGAGTGTCTTGAAGACAACCTGTGAGATAATTGAATATGGCTGGAGCAAGGACCGGTCACCTGTGGACACTTTTATTATGGGATTGGCTACAAGTATTCGTGAACGAAATGATTATGAGGAAGAGGTTTGTATATTTTGTATGTTATCAAATTACAAAACACATGCACACTTACTTGCAAATGCCATGCGCACACCCCATTTTTTTTGTGTTTGTGAATGCACACGGATGCTTAGTCAGCCAATAAGTTCCATATGTTTGGTATAATTTTATTTGGTAATATATATTTTTTTCCTAGTTGGTACTCACACACACTTGTCTCTTCTGAGACTTGAACCCCCGACCTCCCTTTGGGAAGTAAGAAGCTAATACCGCTAGGCCACTGGTCGTTGGTTATTGAAATTGGCACAGGTATATATTGAAATTGTCCATAAGGACCATAACTGATATAACTACTTTTCTGAAGTCAACATTTGGAGTGCAGTGTGTATTTCATACTGGTCTTTTACTCTTGCAAGAATTATTGATATCAATAGTCTTGTTTAGGTTGTTGTTCAGTGCCAGTTCTTACACAAAACACAAGTTTAGTTAGGCCTTAAGTGTCTAACAAAGGCCATCACCTGCTACTAGTCCTGCCAATATAGGGTGCTAAGATTGAGAGTGATAGGTTGGGTGCAAACCTAACCTTGGTTTAAGGTTTTGAAGAATGGGCAGGGGCTTCTCTAATCAACACTTCCTTTTCATGAATGTGGTGGATGTTTTTGTTAAAATATCTTAGAAAGTGATACATTGTATCATGTTATGGATTTTGAGATTGACTAGAGTAGAGTGCAAGTTTGTTGTTTATTTGTTGACTACACTAAAGCTTTTCCCAATGGTTACCGAAGTAAAAACTTTAATCACAGCTTTTCACCTGTTAGTATCAATAAGAATAGGAAGTCTATCAGTGAGATTGAAATTTGATTTGTCTTTGTGCTTGAGTTGTAGGCTGTGGTATTAGTAGTTGGTCTCTCATGTGTTTTAGTCTTTTCTTTGGAGTTAATATTTATGAATGCTAAATTATTGAGGCTGGCCAGGTGGTAGAATGTGCATGTTACCTTTGTTGGTTCAAATTACTTGACTCAGTTGGTTACAGTTGAAATTCTTACCTACAGTTGGTTCAAATTCCAGTGAAGATAGCACTAATAGGTTGAGAACCTGCTATCTGCTTCAGTCAGGGTATGGGGACAAGAGAGAGTTTAGTGATTTGGTCAATAGTTTGTCATCTGAGGTAGAACATGGGCCTGCATTTGTATAATGTGAGTTCTGCTACTTCGATTTTTAACCCTCAAGATCACATTGGTCTTCCGAATAGACATTCTATAACAGGAGATTAGATTATATGTGGATCTTTGATTTGGGTAATAGTCCATTGTTCTTTGCAATTCCATAATGAAGCTAATTCTAGTTTCCGGGGGTCCTCCTTAGTGGCCCATTTAGTCAAAATTTAGTTTGGATACTTAATTTATAGTGCTCTCTTAAAAAAAATGTTGAATATTAAGTTAATTTTGAATATTTGTTTCTTTCTATTTTCTTTTGTTTCCTTTATATATATATATATATTTATTGCTGTTGTACTCCATTTTGTGCTTATATGCCCTTACATTTCAGGATGGGAAAGAGAAGCAAGCAGTCCCCGTTGTGCAGCTTAATGTTATACGCTTGCTGGCTGATTTGAATGTTTCTGTTAACAAGCCTGAAGTGGTAGACATGATATTGCCACTATTTATTGAAAGCTTGGAAGAGGGTGATGCTTCAACTCCTGGCTTATTGCGACTCCGGGTATGAAACTCTCTCTTCGGAGCATGTATTTTTTGTATATTTATAATATATCCATCCTCTCGTGCACTTCGATCCTTTGTCACTTGAATATATACACACACACCCACACACACACTATTGAAATGGTTGTTGCTCGCATTTATTATGTGCCATTGTCTCTCAACTTATTTTTATTGAATTACTTCAGCTTCTTGATGCTGTTTCTCGCATGGCGAGTCTAGGCTTTGAAAAGTCCTATCGTGAAACTGTTGTTCTGATGACTAGAAGCTACTTGAGTAAACTTTCCAGTATTGGATCTGCTGAGAGTAAAACCCTGGCACCAGAAGCTAATACAGAACGTGTTGAGGTATGTTCTACCTCTTAACATGTGAACAATATGAGATATTATCAATTTTGGTGAAAATTCATTCTATTAAATGGATGCTCACTGGTTCAATCACATTCTAGACAATTCCTGCAGGATTTCTACTGATTGCGAGAGGACTTGGCAGTACCAAATTGCGGTCAGACTATCGTCACCGCTTGCTATCTTTGTGCTCAGATGTAGGCTTGGCGGCAGAGTCTAAAAGTGGAAGGTAGAACTCTGCTCCTAATATATTGGATTATGGAATGTCATAATTTAATATTGGATTGTATGGTACCATTTTACTTTCTGCAGCAACTTTTTTCCTCATTCGATGTATTTGACTATGTGCTAAGAGTTTTCATAACATTTACTGGAAACATTTGCAGGAGTGGAGCAGATTTTCTTGGGCCTCTACTTCCTGCTGTTGCTGAAATATGTTCAGATTTTGATCCTACAGTAGATGTGGAACCTTCACTTCTTAAATTATTCCGCAACTTGTGGTTCTACATTGCTCTTTTTGGGTTAGCACCTCCTATACAGAAAACTCAGGTTCCAATGAAGTCAGTTTCCACTATGCTGAATAGTGTTGGGAGCATGGGTACAATTGCCCTTCAAGCTGTGGCTGGACCATACATGTGGAGTGCACAGTGGTCTTCTGCTGTTCTACGCATTTCCCAAGGAACCCCACCCCTTGTGAGTTGATATAAAATAGCTTAAATGATTATGTTTCACATTTGATTTAATCATTTATTTATTTATTTTTTCCCCCTATGTCCCCTATCTCTATGAATATGAAGGAATTATTCCATTATTGCTCACTAATAATAGTGGAATCAATGGCGCAGAGTCAAAACAAGATTCTGACCCAACACTTTTTTATGAACCAATCCAATAAATCTACTTCTAATAAATTCCTATACGATTTCTAATTGGGAAAGATTAAACACAAGCAAAATACGCAATGACCTCTCAAGGGAATGTTACTAATGGAACATGTAGGAATAATAGAGACTATTCTTTTTTGTTTTTTTTGTTGACCTTTATAAGTAAAAGGAAAGGCTTGGGATTGAGCTAAATGCTGCTTGTTAATAAATTAGAATTGCTCAGCCAGACTGCATTTATTGATGTCCTACCTATATATATATACTTCATGATATATTGTTTCTGCAATTAATATTAGCTTCATTGAGTGCTTTTGAAGGAGCATACTAGAAAAGTTGTACTTCGTTTGTAGTTTAAATTGCTGCTCTACTAGTCTTAAGCAGGAAGTGGAGCTGCTATGTAATACAAATTTAATTTGCATTGAAGCCTTTTAAGCTTAGATTCGTTTCCCCTTTTTTTCTCCTGAAAGTTATTTTTTTCCCCTCCTGAAAGTTGGTCTGTGGTTTGTTAGGCAAGTTGTTCTATTCTTGTTGGGTGCTAAACACAAGCACTTTATTTATATATATATTTTTTCAAAAGAGAAAACTTGGAATCCGTCATCAGGATTATCTACCTTTTGACATTTAAATTCTTCATTTTATGAATACTGGCGTTTTGTTGTGCATTCTAATATGTGCTGTATCTTTCCATTTAGTTACTTAAATATATATTTTTCCATTTAAAACACTAAACTATTCAACATTTCTAAAACTTTCCATTTCTTCCTTTCTTACATGTATATGCAAAGTTTTCTTAAGACTCAAAATATAGAAGCATCTAGGGATTCATACAGTTTCTTTTCCCATGCTTAGGCTTGGGAGACCCAATCACCTAATCGATGGCAACTTTGTGATACTGGTGAAGGGTTGTATTACTTGTATGTTTAGATGATTTTTTGAATCAATTGTGGGTTTCAGTGTGGATACAAACATGTTGATGTACCTAAGTCAGCAATATACACAAGCAAACAGACTTAAGATACGAGGAAAAATATATAATTTTGATTAATTGTGTAAATACTGATTCAATTGGTTGAAGTAGTTTCAATTGAAGACAAAATGAGAGAAAATCAATTAAGATAGTTGGGCTATGTGCAACATAGAACAATATCTGCACCACCAATGAGTAAAAAGAAAGTAGCTTTACTTTAGGCAATGCTAGATGAAGCAGAAGATCAGAACTGATTTGGGTTTGGAGATTAAGGAAAGATATTGTAGTGTGTTGTTTAACCAAGATTATGGTCTTAGATAGAGGTGAATAGTGAAATAGGATTTATGTAGCTGATCCCAAATAGTGGGAAGAAGGCTTTGTGGATTGGGTTGACCAACAATCTAAAAGATACCAAGACACATGGCAAACACATAAATATCAATTTCTTGATTTCCTTTATACAAAAGCTTCAGCATAACAATCAAGCAAAATCTCACAGAAGAAATTAAAGTAAAGCCTAAACAAATTGAAAAAGAAAACAGATAACTAGAGAGAAAAACACAATTTAGTTGCCTAATTGTCTAAGCAATTTAGTTGAATAGATTATGTGATGTTGTGGCCTGAATTTTATTTTGGCCTGGGTTACGTTGTGATCCAGTTTTGAATCTTTTGATCCGTTTTCTCTTGTCGGTTTTGGACCTGAATATAAAATTCTCTTATCGCCCTATGAGGGCGTTTAGAATTTTTGGGGTGTGTAATGAGAGAACACTGAAAACTGCAGGAAATAGTGAGGGAGAGAGAGAGAGCACTAGGGTTTGGGGGCCGAAACTTGTAATCTACAGTTTTTTGCGCAGTGATATCTTTCGGATATTCACTGTGGACGTAGGCTTTGCCGAACCATCTAAATCTTTGTGTTTTTTGTGTGTGACGTGTTTTCTTTTCTGCCGTGATTCTTGGTTTGTTTCAGAATGGACAAAGAATAGGCAGGAAAATAGAGTTCTTCCTCTTTCTTGTTTTGAAAAGGAAAGAAGAAAAGACAAGTTAAGAAGAATAAAGCAAAATAGAGATTTTTTTGAAGTTTTGAGCCATACCTTTGAAATTTAGAGATGGATTGTCTCTACTTTTGGGGTCTTTGTTTTTTATTTTATTTTATTTTACTGAAATTAGGCTAAAGAGTTGGGCTTTATATTTAAAATAATTAAATTTATTTGTCTAAATGGGTTGTAGGCTCAAAAAAATCCTGAACAACAACAAAGCAACACGATTTAGTAGGATCGGCAAGATCGCATGGTCCTATACGATTCTACAAATCCTATTGCAATCCTACTTCCCAAAATATTTCATGTGCTCGGATCGATTTAGCAATTTGGAATTGTAGGATCGTAAGATTCTATGATCGCGATGGGATTTTAACAAACCATGTAAAGGACACACATGATTGAGTCGTGATGATAATAAAAACAATTGCTAAAGGACTAGTTAATTTCCATTATTGTATGCTTACAATTTCCAAGTAGTATAGGCTTGCAATAACTAAACTAAAATATTCTTTTTGCTTAGTTATTGATGAAATGAGAAGGCACATTCAGGATGAGGTTCTTGGTATAGTTATATGAAACTGAACTAAGGGATGAATGCTTTATTAGAGGTTTGAGGAAAAACTTGAAATAGTATGGTTCCAGATAAGTAAGAGAAGAACTGAATACATTGGAATGCAACTTTATCAAAACTAGAAAGTGAGATACAGTGAAAATTGATGGTCAAGAGATACCAACAAGGGAGTTGATTTGTTATGTATGCTTGATTATTCACAGAGGGAAGGTTAAAATGGGTGTTGCTAATAGAATTAAAGAAGGATGTTTAAGCGGATGAGTGCTTTAAGCATATTGTGTGATTAACATATAACTCTCGATTAAAAGGGAATGTTGGCAATTTAGAGCATGAACGTGTCCTGAACGTGGATATTGAGATGGATGTGTGGTAAGATTGTAAAGGATAATTTATAATGAATACATTTGTGAACCAGGGGATGTAACACACGTCGAAAATATAATGAGGCGAAATTGACTAAAATCTATAATTGCATCAGTGAGAAACAATGACTTGGGAAAGGAGAAAACCAAAATTATTGTAGCTTGAGATAATATGGAAACATATGATAGCGTGTGGTTTAATAAAAGTCATTATCTTAGATAGAATGTGACATAAGGTTCATATAGGAAACCCCAAGTAATTAGGATAACCTTTTGAACTGAGTCGGTTAACTTTGGTTGAGTGTTTGGTCATGTCTGAGGCATATTTAGCAGGTTTTCTAAGAGTCTGGCCTGTGTGGAGGTGTGTCATGTCCATTGTTGCCACATGTATCCTTAACGTGTGTGAGCCACAAATGTTGTCAGCAATGTGAGCTGATTTTTTTTTTTTTTTAATCTGATATATCACATCTTTAATATTATTACAATTATTAGAGTGAGGTGGTTTTATCTTTGTCTAATTGTTAAACTAATTCTAAAGATATTATTGTTTGTACAAGTCAAGATATAACTTAAAATTTTAGAACAATATGTACCTTTCCAGGTTGTTAGCTCTGTGAAATGGCTTGAAGATGAGTTGGAGCTGAATGCTCTTCATAACCCTGGTAGTCGTCGAGCTGAAGGCAATGAAAAAGCTGCTGTTACCCAAAAAACTGCTCTTTCGGCTGCTTTAGGAGGGCGAGTTGAGGTTGCAGTGATGAGCTCAATTTCAGGTTCAATGAAATCCTAACTATTTTTTGCGGAACTATGTGAATTCTTTTTATTGCTTGCAAGTCAACAATTGTTGGCTATTATGGCTACAGATTTTGAGCAAACTAGGAGTTTTGGACTCTGCTTGGTAGATGGACTTCACTTAGTTATTGAAATAAGAGTTCTAGGTATATGCATTTGATGTGTGAAATATTATCTTCTGCTACTTCTGACTTCTTCAGGTGTTAAGGCAACTTATCTGCTTGCGGTTGCTTTTCTGGAGATTATTCGATTCAGCAGTAATGGTGGAATCCTTAATGGTGGCACTAGTTTGACTGCTTCTAGAAGTGCTTTCAACTGTGTCTTCGAATATTTGAAAACTCCAAACCTTGTGCCTGCTGTCTTCCAGTGTTTGACTGCAATTGTCCACCGGGCTTTTGAAACAGCAGTTTGGTGGCTGGTATGTTTTCTTTTCATATAAGCCTTGTTAAGCAACACCGTCGTCTTTTATCATGTTCTCACTTAAGTACAAGAGGCATGTCTTAGAAGATTATAGTATCTCATATTGTCAAAAGCATGAAGATGTACGACGACGATGATTTGGCTAGATTGTTTTATCTGTTGAAATTTAATAATTATTTAAGCTGAACAAACTTCTCGTTTCATTGCATTTGAAGTTTTCATCTCTAATATGAGATCTTTATTATCAATAATTCAATACCCGCCTAGCTTGATTGAATACTGTTACCACCCTACTACCCTGCCGGATGGCTTTCCTGAATCCTGACATGGAGTTAATAAAATTTGCCTTCTGTATATGACAATAATGATAATTTTTTTTTTGAACCATTCAGGTCATTCATCATTGTACAGCACTGTAATTCCCAAATCTTAAGTAAAGCTATATTAAGATAAAAATCAACCTGAAATAGCATGCCTTTCAACTTGGTTAGATTGAGTCACTCATCAAAAAAAAAAAAATTTTAATGGCTTGAGTCACTCAACAGCTTGCGTGGAATCACAGTCCTTTTGTGGAGGAATTTCTTAACACACCAACATTATTTGTAAGGAATATGATATTAAAAAGAGTCCAGATCTCATTTTATTTTATGTGTATAAAGAAGTGCATTAAAGAAATTAAAAAAATATATAAAAAAGTAATGAATGAATCAAATTCTTTTTCTTATCTATTTTTTTTTTTTTGGAATAAAGTATATAAATAGATCCATTTAAATAAGTCAACAAACTTGAAACTTTAAAATTTCACCAAAGATCTGGATAATGAGCTGACTGGCCTTTGCGAGATAGCTTGATGAGCTTTGATGGATTTTTGTTATGTGCTGATGGGTTGGGCTGATGGGTCTGGAATTGAGAATTCAGGATCTCTGAGTTTCTTGCTACAGGCTACCTAAATAAATTTTGTACTGGTCACATCCTTGTTTTTCATCTTTGGTCTTTTCAAATTACTATACCAATTATACTTATCAAAAAAAAAAAATACTATACCAATTATATAAACAAAATTAAGCCCTAAGTAATTTACTAATTGAAGTACTCTGTGTTTGCCTAGGTGAGCATGAAAGTTCATAAAAGTTCATGTGTAATTTTTATATAGCGTAACATTATAAAAGGTCGACACCTGGATGAATCTCAAGCACTATTACTTCCTATTTGAGAAGGTGGGAGTTAGATAGGGAATACGTGAACGACTACCTTGGGTTTGCCCAGATGTTGCAATCAATATCTGGAAGCAACCTAATAATATATTGTTACGTTTTAATTGGCTGGCTGCTAGAGACTTGCCAGAAATTTAAAAATAAGTGCTTGAAGGGTTATATTAATTTATTTTGATCTTTCCCAGTTTACTCAGGGTGGTTTCTTCTTAAACTTGGCATGCTATGCCAAGTGAAACTGATTTCTGTTTTTCTGTACCACTTGAGTGTGATTTGTTAAAGGGCACTTGACGTGTATAATTTTATTCTGGGAATGATATTGAGCCAATGGAAAGAAAGCCATGAAGCACGGACACGGACATGAGGCATGGGTATGATATGACATAGACCCGGCGATACGGCAAATTTTTAAAAAATAGGACACAGACATAGACACGAACATGTCAAGGATATGGCAATAAAATTATTATATATAAAAAATTAACTTTTGTTCAATTTATCATATATATATATATATATATATATTCATAGAAATAACCCTTTTAAATTAGGCCCACCAAATAGTCTATATTTCTTTTACAAAAGTCACAATTTTTGTAGCCTAGCCAAAAAAGAGGTAGTAAACTAAGATAGGGTTGTAATCTTATCAATTTTCTTTGGATCACGTCTCTTTGAATCCCTGTTTTATAGCTGTTCCTCTCTCTCCTCCCCTATCTCTTCACCTTTCTCTCTCTTCAAGTCTTCATCTCTACTTCGTAGAGTCTTCTGGCCCCCCCTGTTCGGGCCAATCTTCTGTTTTCCCCTCCATCTCTTCACAATTTATATCTCTTTATCTTTTTGAATGTATATATACATATTCTTTGGACATATATATATATGATACCCACATCAAATATCAAACGAATCTGCCTCTATCTTCATCTTCTTCCTCTCTCTTTAGAAAAAGAAAAATCTGAACGGCGCGTCCCGGCCTATCCTCTGCGTATCCCAGCATGTCCTCCTGTTTCCAAAAAAAATACATATATATATATTTAAAGAAGGATACTTCTGGGGAGTGCCAGACACGTGTTGACACTAGTACGTCTTGTGCTTTAGAGAAAGAAAATAAGCAGACATTTTTTAATGGTCTCAAAGCATCTGTAGTGTTAATGGATGATCATCTAGTTATTCATATTGCATTTTTTATGTTTAAATGTAAAAAATTCTTGTTGGTTCTAGGTCTTGAGTTTTCATAAAGCATGGACCTCTTTCATCCACCTAAAGTAGCACATATCTAGTGTTTTGTGATAAATTCTTGGCGCAACATATGTGACAGATAGTTTGACTTATTTTATATGTAACGGTTACTGAAAAAGAAAAAAAATTACAATTGTCTTCTATGGAAGTTTTGAACTCTACGAAAATAGTTTTGTTTTACCCCCCTGTACAATGTTAGTTTGCAAATCTCTTGCTTTCTAGACTTGTGGAGAGCCTTAATGATCCTGAGAACTGGGTGCAGGAAGATAGAATATCTGAGACGGGCAATGAAGCTGAAATTAGACAGTCTACTCTTTCTGCCCATGCATGTTTTCTCATAAAAAGTTTGTCCCAGAGGGAGGAGCACATACGGGATATCTCTGTCAACTTGTTGACTCAACTTAGAGATAGGTTTCCACAGGTAAACAATCGTTGGTAATTAATTACATTCTCTATTAGTTACAATATCAATTTTTTTTCCTTATCTTGTTTTCTGTTTTCTGTTTTTAATTTTTGATTTTGATTTTGATTTTACTTTTTCATTTTTTATTTAAACTTCATTCTATGTTCCTGACTGTGCTAAGTATGCCTAAAAAAAGGAGTACATGTTTGCAGATTTTGTGGAATTCTTCTTGTTTGGATTCTTTGCTGTTTTCAGTGCATCATGACCCAGCTTCAGCTCTTGTCAATGATCCTGCTTGGATAGCTAACGTTCGTTCTTTGTACCAAAAGATTGTTCGGGAATGGATCATTATTTCACTATCATATGCTCCATGCACTAGTCAGGGTCTTCTACAGGTTTGTCAACTCTCATTGTTGATGTCAATATGAGGTCTTTCAATTGTTTCACTGGCCTCTTTTCTTCTCAGTTCTGCCAAGATTTCAATAGTATGGTAATCATTATTGGGTATTTTATATTAATTGTCTTGTATTGAGAAGTATACTTCTCAGTTTGACATTAGAAATGTGGTATCTGTATCCCACTTTTTCCCACAAAGATGGAGCTGTTGGATGTTTACTTGTAGTCGGTTTGTCAGAGGAAGGTCTTTTTTTTATTTTTATTTTATATATATATCTTATGGATATTCACTTTATGAAGAACTATAGATTTAATTCTCACATGCACTTTTACCAGCTCGTGTTTTCATAATATGTGAATGATATAAGTAGATATGTAGCCATTGCCATTCCTTGGGGAACCTGGATATTGTTCATGTGGCCTACCCTGTTTATATGGGAATAAGGAATGAATGATGATGATAGTTGTGATGATGATGAGTGTGCCCCTAGAACACGTGTCGCACTCATCATACTTTGGATACTAGACATGCCTCCAACGAAAATTGAGATGATAGTTTTGGCTTGCTAGCCCACTTCCTAATTAATGTTCACCACCTATCTAATCCACCTGGTCAGATGGTCAGCCAAGTGCTCCATGTGATTGTACACCTATAGATAGGGGACATGTCTACCACACTGCAAACAGAGAAGAACAAGGACTTTGCTTGTGTTCCTTAGTTTGGAGTCTTAGACCCCTGGGCCCATATTGCATCTCTCTCTAGATTGCCTTAGTGTGACCTCAATTTATCTGGGTCCCTACTTATGTGTGCTTTCCTTGGCAGAACCTACTCTACTATCTACAATACACATTATATTGGCCTTTTAAATGCTCAAATAATGTCAAATGGTTCTCTATACTTGTACTTAGTGCCTTCTCCCCACCTTTCCTTTTCAAATGCTTGTGTTCGTGACCTATTTCAAGCTTCTGCTATCACTTTAATAGTACTATAGGTTACTATTTTGACCCATATGATACCTACTGTTATATTTCTATAATTTTATATAATGTTTTGCCATCTTCTTCTTCTCTTTTTATTTGTTTTAATGTGTTGGTTGGGGACCCATGCAAAACTCTTCCCCCTAGTTTTCTAATATTACTAGCTTATTATTTTGGTACATCTATATCCCATGGTTATTTACTTTTATTTTTATCTATTATTCTATCACATGCTGATATACTTTAATTTCTTTGCATTCCTTGTTCCAAATTGTATACTTTAGGAAAAGCTTTGTAAAGCAAACACTTGGCAGAGAGCACAGCCCGCAACTGATGTGGTTTCTCTTTTATCTGAGATAAGGATTGGTACGGGTAAGAGTGATAATTGGACTGGCACACGAACTGCAAATATTCCTGCAGTTATTGCTGCTGCTGCTGCTGCATCTGGAGCAAACTTAAAATTGACAGATGCATTCAACTTAGAGGTACTTAGTACTGGTATAGTCAGTGCAACAGCTAAGTGTAACCATGCTGGAGAAATTGCTGGCATGAGAAGGTTATATAACAGCCTTGGTGGACTTGAACCTGGCACTGCACCAACAGGCTTTGGGATCGGTCTCAGCCTTCAAAAGTTGAGATCTGGAGCGTCTCCTCCACAACCACCAGAAAGTGATTCATTTAATGAGCTTTTGCTTACCAAATTTGTGGGTCTACTTCAACAATATGTCAATATTGCAGAGAAAGGTTTGGAAGTGGATAAGTCATCATTTCGTGAAACTTGCTCCCAGGCGACTGCTTTGCTTCTTTCAAATCTGGTAAACATGCATCTTTCTTCGTATCTTTATTTATTTATTTTTAGTTCTATAGAATTTATTGCTGCTCCGTTTTCTTTTTGTATTTAGTATGTTGTGATAATCTTTTCCAGGGTTCAGATTCGAAATCAAATGTAGAATGCTTCTCACAACTGCTACGTCTTCTTTGTTGGTGTCCGGCTTACATTTCTACACCTGATGCAATGGAGACTGGTGTTTTTATTTGGACGTGGTTAGTTTCTGCTGCTCCTGAATTGGGGTCTTTTATCCTTGCTGAGCTTGTTGATGCATGGTTGTGGACAATCGATACCAAACGTGGACTCTTTGCATCTGATGTGAGGTTTTCTGGACCTGCCGCAAAATTGAGGCCCCACCTTGCACCCGGGGAGCCAGAGGCGCAGCCTGAAAAGGATCCAGTTGAACAAATAATTGCTCATAAACTTTGGCTAGGTTTTTTTATTGATCGGTTTGAGGTAAGGACTTTTATATCTTTTAACACCCCTCTCTCTCTCTCTGCTGGATTTTGTTCTGTTACATTGTTAAACATAATAATATTGCAGACTAATTCTGCATATCATTTTGAAGTTACGGAGTTTAGGCATTTTATAATAATGGTCTTTGATTTATAAGCGGTCATAATTTTTACTGCCTTTTCTCCCCCTTTGCAACCTCCCAAAGTTAATTCTGAGGTTCAGAATAGTGATATATCCTGTTAGCCAATGACACCTTGTGAGACTGACACTGGGAGGATTTATGTTAACTTTGGTGTGGTAAACGCAAGCCCCATTGAGGTGATAAGGAAGAGAAGCAAACTTTGAAGTCACACATCAAAGCGCTACTTAAAGAAAAAACAAAAAACAAGTTGTCTTCCATTTGATTTTCAATAGTCTTCATGTTCTTTATTTTCTTTTTTCTCGATTTAATTTATAGCAGTTATTATAATTTAGCTTCAAAATTTTAAAGCAACCTTATTGTAACTTTATTAAATGTACCGATGACATTATGCTAACTAAGAATAACTGATGCAACCGTATCCTTGTTTTACAAAAAAAATATGAGATCAACTTGTACTTCAGGTTACTGGTTGGGAAGAACCCTTGCCCAAAATTCCGCTTGAATCAAGCTTTAATATTTAAACTAATCCCATGTTCTCAACTAAATTGTCCATGCCCATCAAAATTTTGGGTGGGATATGGGTTGCTCGGGTTAGGCCCACCCAAGTCCCACACCCTACCATATCGTGGGACACATGAAAAAGATAGTTAGCATCAAAAGTCAGCTTGGTTATATGATACAAGTTCAGAATTTTTTTCATATGCCTTAACAAAATTTTTCAAATTAAACCTTACAAACCAGATATTCTTATTTTTTTCTAACAAAGTTGATTTCTTTTAGAACTTCTTTTGATCGAGAAAGTTCAAGTGGTTGGTCCCATTATATTACTGTAATATGGTGGGTACGGGGTATAATTGTCTAAAAAAGTTTGTTGGAAAGATCTTTTGATAATCTTATGGGTGTCAATTACCACTCTAGGACTCCCCTCCCTTCTGCCAGTCATATTGCAGCAGTCCTTCAGCGTTAATATCCACCTCCTACCTTTTTCACCGATTACTTCTAGTTCTGTTTACTATTAACTTTGGCGCTTGCAGAGTTTGTTGGAGCTTTGTCTGGCCAACATTTACAAAAAGGAAGATAGGATTGGCTGGCCTGCTTGTGACATATTCCTGTTTAGTGATGAACTGGATAAGTTATTACAGAAATTCAACTGCTTCCTTTGATTGTGTGCAATCAATGAAATTCTCAGTTGTGTTGATGAGTATCAGTTTTTACCGCTCTATAAGTTATTTGTTTTTCTCTTGGTTTAGTGTTAGCATTGGATCGATCCGTAAGTGGATTTGGGTATAAAATCACAAGGAAAAAATGTGACGGACTGGATTTCTCGAGTCACTTGACTCAAGGGCTTGATTTCTAGCTTCACAGTCAAGACATATTTGATTACCATTTGACAAACTTGGTAAAATTAGTTTAAAATTATCTTAGATGACAGAGAGACAATCATTTCTATCTAGACCTAAATTTTCTCCAGTTGTCATTTAGAATGTTTTTATCTTGGTACTGCTGCTTCAATATTTTCACTTCCATTTTTCTCTTTGGGCTATCATATCATACCAGTAAAAAAAGATTCTTCTCAACTACAACTAGCATTCAATTTTCTGGTTCTATTAAGGTTGTTGAGTGGTGCTTTCTTCTCTAAAGTCATTCTTCTGTTGTGTAGGTGGTGCGACATGATAGTGTTGAGCAACTCTTACTTCTTGGTCGGATGCTACAAGGGACCACAAAATTTCCCTGCCACTTTTCACGGCATCCGGCTGCTACTGGAACCTTTTTTACCCTCATGCTTCTTGGGCTCAAGTTCTGCTCATGCCAGTCCCAGGGTAATCTGCAAAATTTCAAAACTGGTCTTCAGCTGCTGGAAGACCGGATTTATCGGTAATCATGACTTACCTTTTACTTCCAATTACTTTCTTTCTTGTCACTGTTTTCTATGAGCTTATTTGCTTCTATCTGGTGTACCTGGCGCTCCTGTGTTAGCATGTTGTAATTGTAATTGTATCTCATTTCATTTCCCCATCATGATTTGTAGCCTTATTTACGTAGGATGATATTGTTTTCTCGCCCTTTTAGCTGTGTTCTCCCCTCTTAAAGCATGTTTGCCCAAGCTGAAATTTCTTGCTTGTTGGATTATGTTTATAATTTGAAGTGCAGCCTGTCGAACTTCTTACATTACTCACCCCAAATACTGATGTACACACACATGTCAATGTATCCAACTATATTTTTGCTTGCATAAAGTTGACACATGTATGCATGTAAGCTTGCAATTATAATTAATATATATATATATAATGTAACCATGAAAGCATGTTCTGGAACTTTTGATATAGGTTCAAGGGGTCATTTACATCGCCTTTTAATTGTGCCGTTCAATTTGTTGGATTGAAATAGGAACTTAATGTGTGATTTTTGAGTCATACATCCCTTATTCAGAAATTCATAGATAAGTAGGGGTATTAGTTACATCTATGTCCTTTTGTGGAGCATTATAGAGTCTATATTTAGAGTGAGTTTATCAGTCTGGAATTCGAATGTTTCAAGGGTGGTTCGGATCTGTTCTGATGCGGAAAATATCCTGCTCCGATAATTCAGGATTCATTCAAAACCTTTCGGAACTCTGATATGACAATCTGATCCCAAAGTATTGACTAAATATTAAATTAGAAATAAATAAACTTTTATGAAATGAAAACAGTTTACTTGAGTTCTTGAATTAGTCTTGTTCAGTGGAAACTATTATTTATTTATTTTTTGGAAGAAGATGGAACATGTTCATTCTCAAATTTTATTAATCTAATGGTTGATGTTGAATTATTAACCAGATTGAATATATTTATGTACAATGTTACATTAAAATATTGATTTTCAATCAATCAGATGTATTAAATTTAAGGCTGATCTGTTATTGGATATTGGGTTTGGATCTTCATCAGATTAACAGATAGGATCCTCTTATGGGATCCATGCAATCATATCTGATTTGGATCAAAATCAATCCATGAGTAGCTATAATGCTTTTATGGCCTAGCATGCCTTTTTGAAAACCGTAGATCGGTTAAGCGTGTATTGATGATGGTTCAGAGTGATTAAGTAGCCATAGATGTGTGAAATAGTCACCTAATAACATTAGTTCTCAATGCGAGGTATTTTTATATTTTTTTTGTCCATAGACATTATTCATCTTTGGAACTAAGGTTTCTAATGTTGTTAGTGGGCCTTTTTCTGGTCTTGTCCTGTTTGACCGTAATTTCCTGTTTCTGCATCATGGTTTCTTGAGGAGTTGCACTGAAGCTTACAGTTGCATTTATTGCTTCTATGTTTAACTTGAATTTCTGAAATTTTAGTGTTGCATTTGAGGACTGAAAGATGTTTTTGTGCATTGCAGGACCTCTTTAGGCTGGTTTTCTCACGAGCCTGAATGGTTTGATACAGGCAACGTAAACTTTGCCCTGAGTGAGGCTCAATCTGTTTCTGTATTTGTCCATCATCTTTTAAATGATCGAATGGATACTTCTCAATCCGATTCAAGAGGACAGGGACGTGAAAACGGGAGCTCTTTGAGTGATTTGGTAAGATAATTATACTTGCAGCAAATGCAATCTATAGTCTAGAATGATTCTGAGATGTGGTTCTCTTCATAAAATGAGTTAATGCTTTGCCAATTATGAAACATTTGGCTTTATCTGTATCCTTTTGGAGTAGGATTCTGCTTGCTGTTTGTGCAGTTTGTCCATGAAATTATATTATTATCTGCAGAAGGATCTATATCACCCTGTCTGGGGCCAGATGGAGAACTATGCTGTCGGAAGGGAAAAGCGGAAACAATTGCTTTTGATGCTATGCCAGCATGAGGCTGATAGGCTTGAAGTTTGGGCACAACCTTTTAACTCGAAGTAATTCTTTTCAATTTGCTGAACTTATATACCATGTTTGTCAAAAAAATAAAAAAAATGTTTTTCTTTTTTGGTAAAGGGTAGTGATAACATTTTGGTGTTCATTTTTTGCAATTGTGTTCACATATAATTTCAGGGAAAGTTCATATCGACCTAAAATTGGCGTAGAGAAATGGATTGAATATGCCAGGACTGCCTTTTCTGTTGATCCTCGGATTGCTTTATCCTTGTCCTCAAGGTTCCCAACAAATTCTTCTTTAAAGGCAGAAGTAACCCAACTGGTTCAGGTGTGCACTTCCCATATTAATTAGCTGGAGTTGTAAGTGGAAAAGAACTGGAACTTTAATATTCGACTAAAGACTAGAACAAAGGAAATAATATTTTGGGGTGAAAGTAAATTCTTATAAAGGAAATTTGCACTTCCCATTTTAATTAGCTGGAGTTGTAAGTGGAAAAGAACTGGAACTTTAAACTATTCGACTAAAGACTAGAACAAAGGAAATAATATTTTGGGGTGAAAGTAAATTCTTATAAAGGAAATTTGCAAACATTCTGTTGTTAATGAGCAAAATATATAAATCTATAAACATATCGGAGAGCTTATGAAAATGGATATGATGCGTGACGCATGGCCATTGCATCTGAACATTGGGCTGGATGGACTGGGCCAATTTATTGAGCGGGGTGTAAGCCTTACCTGAACTCAACCCAAATTACTTGGCCCAAGCTCAGCAGAAGCAGTTTTCATGCATTTGGGCTAGGTTCATCCTAGTCCAAGGCTACACAATCCATGTGCAATTTAGGGTAATAGAATTGTGTCTTATCATTGAAATCATATTTGTTACGATGTACAAACCTAATTAAGAATTTTCTTATAGTTCATTCTGTTATGGTGAAAAAGTAACTAAAGTCGTTACATTCTCTATCATACATTATCTGCGAGACACAATATTCATTAATAGGTTAGAAAATATATAATATATCCTATCTTAACTTCCTTTTAAATACCTCAGTTGGGCCTTGGCTGGCCAGCGTGTTCTTCAGGCGTACACCTGCCCAATCAAATGTACAGCCTTAATTCTAAGTCGACTACTTTAGTCTATTTTGACCATTATACTGAAAATTCAAATGGAAGGTATCAAGATATTTGAATTGTCGCATGTTTATCGAGCTTGGATTATAATCTTGCCAATCTGGTTCTTAATCTAATTTGTCAATATGAAAGTAACACGCGCCATCCATAGAACTGTTTCTATAGGATAAACAATCATACTAGTAATTTTTATTATAATGCAATTTACCTGCTCCCTGTACTATTTATATTATTGTTGTTATTATTAAAATGTACTTCATGGGGGTATTGTTCTCCAAGCTGTCTTTAGTTTTGTGTGTGTTCTGCTTGCAGTCACATATATTGGAGATCCGCTGCATACCTGAGGCACTACCTTATTTTGTTACACCAAAGGCCGTAGATGAAAATTCAGCGCTTTTGCAACAATTGCCACACTGGGCTGCTTGTTCAATCACGCAGGCGCTTGAGTTTCTTACCCCATCATATAAGGGTCATCCACGTGTTATGGCTTACGTTCTTAGAGTTTTGGAGTCATATCCTCCTGAGCGAGTTACTTTCTTCATGCCACAGCTAGTGCAGGCTCTGCGCTATGACGAAGGGGTGAGTGGTCTCATTGTCATGTAAATGTGTATTATGTGTATATCTCTTGCATACAACAGTATGAACATGAGGAATTCGAAGCTGATGAATTGAGCCTAATTTGGACATTGGATGGGTTTGGACAATAGAAACATGTTCCACCTTGAACTGTAACATGTTTACGTAAATTCTCTTCTGAGGAGGTTTTTCTGTCACTTCTCTGAGTGTGATTAAACCAAATGATAGAATATAACTTCATGTGTACAGCGAAAACTTCTTTGATAACGTTAATTATATGTTCATCATGTCTTATTCTATTTCTGTCAGCCAAATCCAACCCCATCAGCGTTACCAGACCCAAACTAATCTAAGCTAAGCTTTCTTTTGAGTCTTTGGTTGTTTTGAGCTTTTGGAGAATGTTCACTTTCTGGGTTGACCTCTAACCTGACCCCACCACTTGAATTGCAGGCATTGGAATTTAAAACTACCATTGTGCATACTGCATGTTACTACTTTAAAGTAATCTTGTGTTTATTTGATGGATGCTTTCTTAATTTGCAGCGTTTAGTAGAAGGGTACTTGCTTAGAGCTGCTCAAAGAAGTGATATATTTGCTCACATTCTGATATGGCATCTGCAGGTGGAAAATCTCTGTTAATTTATCATAAAAAATAGCTATGTTTTCTTAATATACTGGGGAAATATAATGTAGTCTCTAAGGTTCCATGTGCTTTTGACATGGAATGTTCTTTTGCTTTCTTATGATTGACTAATTATGTTTAAGAATTGCAGGGGGAGACGTTTGTACCAGAACCAGGGAAAGATGCGGCCGTTGTAAAGGTATATCCAACCATAAAAAATTTCACTTTTTTATCCAATAATTGGATAAATTTTAGACATCTTGTGTATGTAATTTTTGGGGATGAAGCTAAGTGATAGTTCATCATAGGCCCAAAAAAGTGGAAAAGCTAGTTATTGGTACTTTAGACTTCCATAAATTTTTTGCAGTTCTATAGCCAAGTCTGAGTTCATTTTGATGCTAAAAGCTTTGTTTTTCACGCAGTTTAACTGAAGCTGGTAAAAAAAAAAACACACAATAGTGAAACTCGAAGAAGCACTAAACCAATGGTGCTGGAGGGAGTGGGGGACTTAAATTTGTTAGTGTTCTAGGTTAATATATGCTTAGATGCTTTTTTGGCACATTTTGCATGTGGTCTTGTGCTTAGCCATACTCTTTTTAAAATTAACAAAAAGAAAAAGTAAATGAACTAAAACAGAATAAAAACTAAAAAGGTTACTTGGCTGCAGAAGAAAGCAGTTCTCATTTCAAAACCCAGGCACTGTTTGATTTAATTGTGATACCATTATTTGAAGTCCTTCCGATATCCCATCACCATTTATGCCACCACTAATGTTACCCTGGGACCTGTTTCCGTTTAACAAAAAGAACCCAACAAGACCAAATTACCTGACAATCCACTGCAAAACTTTGCACTACAGCACCACCACAGTTTGCATGATCTTGCATCTTTAATTTTATTTAATCATTAGAAATGTTTTGTGTTCAAGTTTTCCCGACAGTGTAGCAATCCATGCTTAGTCAGTGTTTTGCATTCTACTTGTTATTTTCAGAATAGTTCGTTTCAAGAACTATTACCCATTGTTAGGCAACGGATCATTGATGGTTTCACTTCCAAAGCCCTTGACGTGTTTCAAAGAGAATTTGATTTCTTTGACAAAGTCACATCTATATCTGGTGTACTCTTTCCGCTTCCGAAGGAGGAAAGACGGGCTGGCATCCGGAGGTATTATTCTATCTTGCAAATGTATAAGCTGAAACAAGTGTTGTTACATAAAAATGCGGTTGTGACAGATGAATTCTTATTTTTCTTGTTGAAATAGGGAGTTGGAGAAAATTGAAGTGGAAGGAGAAGATCTTTATCTGCCTACTGCTCCTAATAAACTTGTCAGGGGCATTCGGGTTGATAGTGGAATTCCCTTACAGTCAGCGGCTAAAGTTCCTATTATGATCACGTTTAATGTGGTGGATAGAGATGGGGATCACAATGTTACAAAGCCTCAAGCTTGCATTTTCAAGGTAAATGCTCTCAATTAGTTATTGTGCTTTGTGATCCATTTTGTGGAGCTGAACCTTGAAATATAAAAAATTATGTCAAACCTTGGTGGATTTTGAATCCAATGAACTTTTCTTCTCCTCCTCCTCCTCCTCCTCCTCCTCCTCCTCCTCCCTCTCTCTCTCTCAAACCAGTCACTGCCATGTTGCCTACCTGACAAGTTACCAAAATTATGTTCCTGCCATTTTGGCAGCCATAACTTAACTTGATTCTGTCTATTCTAGGTTGGAGATGATTGTAGACAAGATGTTCTTGCTTTACAAGTGATTTCCCTTCTTAAGGACATATTTGAAGCAGTGGGACTTAAGCTCTATTTGTTTCCTTATGGAGTTCTCCCAACGGGCCCAGAGCGCGGGATAATCGAGGTGAGCTTGTATCTACTATCACTAAATTAAGGCGTTTGTGCATGGTTTTCTTTTATAGTTATGTATATATCAGATGTTAAGGTTGCCACTTGGGTGGATCGGGTAGGTTGAGGTGTTAGTCGAAGCTCAATGCAGGTATCATACCTTCAACCCACACCCAACCCAACCCAACCCAACAGATACAAAGTAATTTTTTACTGGATTGTTTGCTATCCAACCAAAGTATTCCATTCCCTTCTTTTTTCTTTTTCTTTTTGCTGTCCTACCAAATAACGCACATACCCATTGTGCTCCTATGGAGACTTCAACCCTTAATCTCCCAATTTGGGAGGTTAGAAAAGTACCACTAGGCTTAGTCCTCGGATTTATATTCCATGGTTTTGCTCAAGTTTATATGTATACACAAACGCACAAACATATACATGCAATGATATGCATATATATAAGAAGACAAGCTTAAGAGAGAATTGTCAGGGTTTGTCCTTTACTAATTCAATTCGCTAACTTACTGTAATTCTTTTCCTCTTAGTGGAGATTGTTTAAACATATTTAAAGCTGATTGGTCAATTTTTAAATGTGTGCGCGTGTTTTTTTAAAAATTTTCTTATCCAATTCTTCGGCAGAGTTGGTGATAAATTGAAATGGCCTCATTTTCTTGACTTTCTATTTTTGTTTCTGAAGAAGGCAATTGACCCCTTACGGCAAACACGAAAAAAGAAAAAAGAAATCAGAAATGCTTGTTAGTTGGGTGTCTTGGGTCCGAATGCCAATTTATCGATGCAAAAATTTGTATGTAATTTGAATTGGCCACCTAATCATTACGAACTCAATTCATTATTGTGGGATAGGGATGTGTAACCAAAGGAAAGAGATCTTTGTGATGAAAAAAAGTGTGTGCTTGTTCTTTAATGAGATGCATCTGCACATACAGCTTGCAAAGTTGACCTGATTCACCTAGGCGGTCAACACTGAACCCCTATGTTCTTTGCATTTTGATTGTCATAGGGTAAGCCATCGGTGGGAATGAATTGTCTATCTTTTAAATTTGAAATCGTTCTCCTCTTTATTGGTGGACACGGTGGTGTATATTATTATTTTTCCATAATTTTCTCCTCTTTCAATCAAATCATTCTGCTATTGATGTCACATGGTGGGCGTTGAAGTGGCAGTGTGAACCAATGGACCAAGAAATGGCCTGTTCTGTGGTTGAACTTGTGTTCTTCTTCTTGAGATCTGTTCAAATGCATCATATGTGTTATGTCTGGACAGTCATTGGTTTCTCACATTTTCTGAGCAAAACTCTTCCTCGTGACACTGATATGGTGGGTGGTGGTTTTCGAAATTTCCATGGAATCAATTCAAGGAGGCCATTGCTTGGTGCATTGGTAAAAGCTTGGAGTAGAAGCGTGAGAACACAAGTTTGAGTTTGAGGGCAGCGTAAATAATGGCAAGGGCAGGGTTTTTAATCCACAACCCCCTCATTTAATGAGGATCAACACTATGTAACGGTATGTTCTGTGGAATCAAGGTCAAGTGTTGACACTTGGAACAAGAGAAGTTGTAGTTTTGCTTTTGATGTCTTACTCCATTCATTAGACTATACATTTCGAGTTGTCCATTTTAATAATGATAGCCTTATCAGTTCCCATAAATTGTATGAGAGATGGCCTGTTATGTGGGAAAGGTTAAGTGTTGCGCTTGTTAGAAGAGAAATGAGCTGCTGGTACAACTCATGCAAGTATTAGTTTTCCTTTTGATATGCCGGACTCATTCATTCATTAGTATATAGATTTTTGGTTGTCCAGTATAGATATCAATCATATCATTCCCTCATCTATTCCTATCAACTAATTTACACTACCTTATCCAACAATCAAATATCATTACCATTTCTGTAAGATCTATCAACATCGAGCTTTGCTCTTTTATGGGTGTAAATTTATGCCAAGGTCTTATTAACAATTCTTATTTTTAAAAACTCCATTTAATATTGTAATTAATGTATTCTTCTCTTAAAAATCTCAAGTGACATTTTTCATTCTGCACAGGTTGTGCCAAATACACGGAGCAGAAGTCAAATGGGTGAAACCACTGATGGTGGTTTATATGAGATTTTTCAACAGGACTACGGACCTGTTGGTTCTCCCAGTTTCGAAGCTGCTCGTGAGAACTTCATCATTAGCAGTGCTGGATATGCAGTTGCCAGTCTATTACTTCAGCCAAAGGATAGACACAACGGGAATCTTTTGTTTGACAAGTTTGTTCTCTACTTTTTGCATGACTATTGAAGTAATTGCAGACTGATGACTGGAGCAACTAAATTTAACTTGGTTTTTAGTGTAAAAAAATAACTCTGATTTGCTATGTTGCCTGTGAATATTATTTAAAACCAACTTTTTATTGACGACTTCCACTAACACAATATGTTGGAAATATCTAAAATTGTTTTTATAAAGAGAATACTGATTAAAAGTACTTGTAACATTAATATCATTTTTAATCCTTATCAGGGTAGATATTATTAGGGAAAGTTTAAATATATATTGTCTGATATTAAATGACACAAGGGAAAAATGACTAATGGTGGTGACCTGAATGTATATATTTTTGCAGTTTGGGTAGGCTTGTACATATTGATTTTGGTTTCATCCTGGAAACTTCGCCTGGAGGAAATATGCGGTTTGAAAGCGCGCACTTTAAGTTGAGTCACGAGATGACTCAATTACTTGATCCATCAGGGGCGATGAAGAGTGACACTTGGCACAATTTTGTAAGGTTAGACAATATTCATTTTTATGGTTAGTTCTTTTTTTTTCCCCCTCCTTTTCTGTTTCTCAATAAACATTTTCTAGGTCTAAACTTTGACTGTTTAGTTTTACATATTTCCGGTCTTGGTCATTAAGCATTTTCTAGGTCTGATCTTGATTGCTTTGTTTTACGTTGTGTTCACAGATTGTGTGTAAAGGGTTACCTTAATGCTCGTCGCCATATGGATGGGATTATTAATACGGTGCATTTGATGGTAGATAGTGGATTACCTTGCTTCAGCAGGGGTGATCCCATTGGAAATCTTCGCAAGAGATTTCATCCGGAGATGAGCGAACGTGAGGCAGCCAACTTCATGATCCGCACGTGCACGGATGCCTACAACAAGTGGACCACCGCTGGTTACGACTTGATCCAATATTTGCAGCAGGGAATCGAGAAGTAAAGGAACTATTTAAGGTTGGGTTTGTCTTCAGATGTATATCATGCATGATTGCTTGTAATTTTATAGTTGTTGGTGTTTCATACACCACAGCTGTAATTTTTCCGAGGGATTACCGCGATTGTAGTGCAGAGAGGTGGTTTTGTAAAATCGGAAAACACTGAAGAAATGAGTTGTTTGTAGGTGAGCAGTGGGATTCCTCGTGAGATTTGTAAAAATATAGTGTGTAGGGCCATTTATCAATGAAATTCGCATTTTGTTGCAGTGATGCTCACTCTTCTATTTTGTTGTAGTGATGCTCACTCATGTATTTACATCGACCTCAAATAGTTGGATTAAGGCATATTGAGTTGGGGTGGAGTTTTATATTTATTTCTTCCCCAAACCCTTTGGTTTCACTGGGTGGCGTGAAATGCTCAATTTAAGAGATGTTGCTTGTCAAGGGTACTAGGAAAAGTTGGAAGGCCATTATCCATTACTTACAAGTGCTCCGGTCTCAGCATGATACTTACTCCGTAAAATATTTTTCTTTTTCAGGTAAAATGTATATATTTTTTATTTTTTGGTCAGGGGACATGTAAAATAACGAAAATTGATGAGTAGGTTATTTTTGTTAAAATTTAATATTTTTTTCTTTCTAAATATTCTACGACAACTAGAAAATAAAAATAAAAAATATTTTATATCGAAACAAACGGAGCTTGGTATAGTAGAGATGGAATAATTTGTTAAAAATCGTTAGAGTTTAATATTTTTTTCTTTATAAATATATTATGACAACCAAAATAATAAAAAAATATTTTTAAAAAAGTATTTTACATTCAAACAATCATCTATGACGCAATGCTCTTTAGGCTTTGTCGTTAATTGAAAGCTGGCTGATTTGGTTCTCAAAAGGATACAAAAAAGTTTTATGGTTAAGAAATGGCTTTCGTCGCCAATATGCCCTTGCCCGAATTCTTTATCCACCATGTCACTCATTTTTCAAAGTATTTTAGTCGCTATAATTATTTTATTTGTCGCTACAGACGACACCTACCATTTTTTTGGACGAATTATTTTCGGCTCTACTTGTTTAAGCGTAAAATATTTACGGACAAAAAAAAATATTACAACCTAACAAAAATAATTTATTCATCAAATTTTGGTAAGCTATTTTACATGTCTCACCCAATGGATTCAACCTCGACTTAAAACTTTAACAAACACCGAAAAAATATATTATATATATATAAATATTTTATCTGAATTTTTTTTTTTTCTTTTCGAGAAAGATAGTTTACGTCGAAATAACTGAGTTCATCCTAATATCCTTGGGCTAAGCGACGAGCAAAAGAATTGTACCGGCCCAACCTTACAAAGATTCGTCCTTCATCGAACAAAAGAATCGTACCGGCCCAAGTCTATATCGTTAATAGGCCTTGTAGAAAGTAAACCCCAATTTTGGGTGACAAAAATAAAACCCATTTACAGCCCCATTAAACGAGTCAGGGACTGCATTCAGTCGAGAGAAGCATCGAAAATGGAGGGCAATGTCCGGAGTCAAATGGACTCTCTTTCTCGTCGCCAATCGCTGCAACATGAACCGAATCACCCTCTTCACTCGGTAAGAAATCATGGGTTGCAAATTTTTTTTTTCTTTCTATGATATAAATATTGATTAGCTTTACCGATATATACATGTATATATATATATATATACACAGTAGTTCATATTTCTGTATGTGTATGATTTTAGGCCTGGATTAAAGTTGGGCAAGTGAAAGATGTTGAGTCATGGCCTGTAATCATAGGGGGTATGGTGCTGGATATACACGCCACTCCTTCTAGACCTGCAAATCCGAGGACCACCACTCCTGGCAAGGTATGTTATATTCCTCATTTTCCTTTTATTTATATTCAAAATATATATGTGTAAGTAAATGTGTATAATGTGTATATATGTGTATATGTTGAATATAAATAAAAGGAATTTGTATGATGTGTACTATGGAGGACTTATTTCAATAGCATATTCCTGATTAAGTCTGTGATATCATGAGGGAGCTCTCACTGTGAGCTTGCACACGGTTGAGGGGGCAAGCTCACAGTTAGTGCTAATGACCATGATGACTTGCCCATTTTGCCGAAGAGTTTGTATTCATTAGTTCATATGAATTTCTTTTTGAAAACATCTATCTTCTTGGTGATAATATGCTCAACATGGGATGTGGATGGAGACTTTTTTAGATGGTGCATGGAGAATGTTTCGGTATTGTTCATATAACTGTTTTGCGGATTAAGGGAATAATAAACTACTGCATTTCAAGAGGAGCTACCATGATTTGGTGAACAGCAGGCACAATATTAGTTATCCTTGGATATCAGATTATTTTAATTAGTCAAACCATAAGCTAATGAAAGTGTGGGATTGGAAATACTGAATCAGTGGGGGCAGAACCTTGTGTTTAGTTAGAAAGGTTCAATATTATGTCTGAAAAAAGTCGTAACTGTTTCCACTGGATGTGTTGTTTTAGAATTCTTTTTTCAAATCTTGTACTCTTTAACTGATTTTTTTCAGGGTCCAAAATTTGTTTGAACCGTTTAATTGGTGTGATGTATTTTAAAGCTAAAGGGTAACAGAATAACAGGACCGAGTATGAGTAGAAGTCATTTTGCTGTTTATGGAAATTTAGTATGCAGGTGCTCACTGTAACATCTTGTTAATGACAAAAAACTGTCAATGTCTCTTTGAACCTCTGCAAGCATTATGAGATATTGTGGGCACTTCAAAAACACCCACTCTTGTAATTATTTACCATCTGTGGTGCTTCTGTTATATCATTAGAAGATCTCATTACTAGATATTCCTATATGTATGTTATTGTCAAGTTTTCATTAAGTTTTCTCCATAACATAGAGGCAGGTGTAGATTCCATTGACTGTCAGATGAATCAATATACTTCTTCACAGATCTCATTTGCCTATTAAATGGGGTTCTCTATTCAGGTCCACTATATATTAGGAGGTGTAGCAAGGAATGTTGCTGAGTGCATGTCAAAGCTTGGAACAAAGCCTTACATGATTAGTGCTGTGGGACTTGACATGGCAGGTGAATATTTTTATTAGATGCATGCTGCCCTTGATTACAGATATAATTCTTGTGATTCTTTGGGAAAAGGTTGCATCACTGGAAGATATGAAAAGTTTTATCAAAATTTATTAAATTTGCGAGTAAGAAAATTTGTGCCTGGTCTAGAAGTAAAAGTCAATGCGCTTTGAAGCTAGAAGAGTATTGTCACAAGATTTTTGGACTAATTGTTTTTTTCCCTTGATAATTAGCAATAATAATTGAACCTTCAACCCCATTCCTGCTTTTAGATGTCATGCCTGCAGTTCTCCATCATGCTGCTACAATGGCTTTGGCATTTTTGGTCTAGAATTGTTACTACTAAAACAAGTGGTTGGCATACTTACTGAGTATAATAATCATATGAACCCCATTCCTGGTTTTGTTGCTCTAATTAGATAGGCTGATAATTATGTAAATGAATTTTCAAATACCATTTTGTTCATCTAATTTTGTCTGAACATGCATGCGCTCAACATATACGTATAGGCATCTAATTTAGTTTATCCATTGATTCTTACATGCAAACATTACATTTGGTTATATAAGAATCCAGTCCATTATCTGGCCTGTAGTCAGGATCTATGGCTAGGCTTTGTGAATTTCCTTATAATTTGGAGCATGATGCACAGTATTTGGTTCTTATAGGAGCAAGCCAATAAACAGAATACAATTGGCTAAACTGACAATGCTCTCTCTCTCTCTCTCTATATATATATATATATATATATATATATATATATATATAGGTAATTTGCTGTTAGAGCACTGGAAATCTGCTGGATTATCCACAGAAGGTAGTATTTTTTATCTTTTAAACCTATTGTTGATCTGTGATAATATTAGTTTGAAGATTTGCTTGGTTGTGTGGCCAGATGCATGAATTTTTTCTCTCTCCATAATTCCATAATTTGAGAATTAAAGCAACAACCACATTTTTATTAATTTCGAAATGGCTCCGCTCTGCTGGTGGTGAAATTTTGATGGAAGCACTGATTAGGAATAGAGAGTGAAGCATGTACAATTTTGGACTTAATTGTACTAATTCAGAATTTCACTCTCTATTTGGACCTATTTGATATTCACATATAATTTATGCGCTGAAGATTTTATAGAGGTGTGGGAAAGGAAAAGTATACTTGCAATCTGACAACAGCCGCAGGTTGCAGTTTTTCTTTTCTTTGCCCATGTCTTATCCTTTATCTAATGGTAAATTAATGACAAAGTATGGTAACATTCATTTGTTTTCTCTGTACCTGACGATTAAAGTATCACTAGAAAACATACCATTCTAACATTACCTTACTATTCTCTTGGATTAGGCATTCAAAGGCGCCAAGATATTGAGACTGCTGTAGTTTGTAACATCTTTGATGTTAAAGGAGAGTTGGCAGCTGCTGTTGCTTGTGTGGAAGCAATTGTAAGTTTTTCTCTAACACATTAAGCTGTTGCATCATGGATTTGAACAAATTTGCCAACTTTAAGTGTTTGTTTGATGGCCTAACACAGGAACAATTTCTCACACCTGAATGGATTACACAATTCAACTGCAACATATGTTCTGCTCCAGTATTGATGGTTGATGCTAACTTAAGTCCTCCTGCTCTGGAAACATCTTGCCGAAGTACACATTACTTTCATATTTACATTAAGCCCCTCCCCTTTGTTCCCTTCTCATATAGTTTACTTATGTTGTGCTTTCTATGCAAGGGTTTTAGGTTAGTTTATGTAGGCGTGTAGCAAGTTCCAACTCAGGCAAGAACTCTGTGATTTTTTGATGGATGATTATGAGAGAGTTTATGGCCTTAACTCAATACAATGAAGTCATCCCCCAATTATGTGGATTGGGTACTTGAATTATGTTTCTCCATATCGTCGTATATTTCTTTACCATGTCAATCCATATTAGTTTTGATTTTCCCTTTCCTATACTACCTCAATGGTCTAGAATAACCCAATATCATGTATAAATGCGGTTGGAGAGGTCTGTATTGTTATGATTATGATTTACAATGTTGCTATACTACATGGTTGATTTACAAAATGTGAAAAAGTAGGGCTCATTTGGCAATTGTTTCTGTTTTGCGTAACCGTTTTCATCCAAAACAGAAACAACGTTTTGTTGTGGTATGTGTTCATTTGTGATTGGAAACATGTTTGGTAACTTAAAATTTGTTCCAAGATTTTTGGAAGCAAAAACATGGAATCTTTTTTGGTAAAAAAAAAATTGTGTGATTGAGTAACAAAATGGCTAGTCAAAAGGGCCTGCTACAGTGTTTTGGTACTGTTCACCACTACGGTGCCAAACACACTAGGAAACACCAATTTGGGCCTCTTTTCAGCAAAAAATGGGTACTATTCAAATGGCAACAACTAGTTACCAAACGTGTTACGGTGTTTTGCTTTGCTACAGTACCCCACCCACAACATAAAACAAGCAACAAAAACACTTGCCAAACAGGCCCGTACTGATCTTTAGTCACTGCAACGACAAACAGTGGAAAAGGTCTGGCATCATTTAATTATAGTTCTCTGATACACAGCCTTAATTTTTTATTTTCTCGAGTCACTGTCACATGCTTTTTGAAGTGTACGTGCTTGTGATTTTTTCTTCATGTTTTTTCATTCTAGTTATTCACCAAAATTCCAAACTTGTGAAGTTATTTATTCATATATTTATTTCTTCCATCTTTACACTTTGTGATAAATTAAATATAGGATTATGAATTGATTTTAACAATAACTGCTGCTTCCTTTAATGCTCTTTTATTTATTTGTTCATATGTTTATTGGCTTAAAATTTTTCCCCCAGTGGCAGTAGAATATGGCATTCCTGCTTGGTTTGAGCCTGTATCAGTTGCAAAATCCAGAAGAGTTGCTTCAGTTGTTAAGTATGTGAGTGATAAGATTTTCTCATATAAATAGTAAACCTGTGATATTCTCGTGAAGATAGGTATTTTCCATCTTTTTTACACAAAAGGTCTTCAAGCTCCGCTCGCTAGTGGATCTTACTACCTTGATAATTGGCACGAGAATTTTTCTTTTTTTTGGAGAGATGACATTCAGACTCCTAGAAAAACCTTAAGACAGGTTGCTTCTTGGTTTAAGAAAGTAAAGTAGGGTGCATCAGCATATCAATCTCCCTTTTTATTTTTCAATTTGAAACCACTTCAAAAAGGTATAGTGAAAAGGACTCCAGATCTTTTAGCAATATAACCACTATGTTGTACAAGCCATGTTTATAAATGTCTGCTACTGATCTAAAGGTTTTATCAGGTAACTTTTGCCTCACCTAATGAAGATGAACTTATTGCTATGGCAAATTCACTGTCGGGTGGAGACATCTTTGGTCCAATTCAAAGAGATAATAACAAAACTGACCGTTCAACAGAATCTTTGTTCCGAATGCTTAAGCTGGCAATTTGGGTTTTGCTAGAGAAAGGAATTAAAGTATTAGTCGTGACTCTTGGATCAGATGGGGTGTTCTTATGTTCTAAAGGAGGGCCTGGATTTCTAAAAAATGGTTTCATGAGAATCAAACCCCATGGTTTTGGCAGACAACTATATAATGTTGTGAATTCAAGCTGCCCTCCAAATCGGTTTTCTGGTACTTCAAAGTTTGAGGGAAGATCTAATCTCTTTGCTTTGCATTTTCCTGCACTTTCTGCATCAGTTGTAAAGCTTACAGGGGCTGGTGATTGTTTGGTCGGTGGGACACTAGCTTCTATTTCTGCGGGCTTAGATGTTATGCAAAGTGTGGCAGTTGGTATTGCAGCAGCCAAAGCCGCTGTTGAGGTGGAGAGTAATGTGCCTGTTGGCTATAGTCTTTCCAAAATTGCAGGTCAGATTATGAAGTTTATTTGCATTTTTCAGCAATTCGTATGAATAATTCAAGTAATTGTGGGTGGAATTTTTTGTTAAGAGAAGAATATACGTGTGTGTGTGTGTTTTTTTTTTTTTTTTTTTTTTTTTTTTTCTTTAGGCATGTAATGTATAATGATTGCATTTAGAGGCCCCAGTAGGTACTTTGTATTGCATTAAAAACTGGCATTGATTCACTGAACAAAAATATCTTAAATATTACCCATATTTACTTTAAATCCTAAATATGATACTCAATATTTCTTGGGGTTATTCTTCAAAATGCTATGGAAATGAAATGGATTCACATCACATGTTATACATAGAAGACAACAGAACAATTTTGTTTCAAAGGGCCTTTAAAATGCTCCATTGGCATGCCGATTAATCAAGCTGTACACAAGTATGCTATTTAGAGTGATAAAGCTGTACACAAGTATGCTATTTAGAGTGATAATGTTTGATTCTTCTCAACAAGGCTGAAAATATTGATTAATGGAAATTTCTTTTATGCAGATGATGCAAGGTCTGCATACTTCGCTGCCAGAGTCGTATTCTGTCAATCAATGTTATAAATCTTGGAAACCTGGTTCAAGTGTAAAAATAGTTGAACCGATCTGAGTGTACTGTGTGTGGCATTTTTCTAAAAGATTAAATAAAATTCATGTTGATTGTGAATAATATTGATCCCTTTCTTGATTGCTTGCTTGCTTTTGTTGTGGTTGTGATTGTCATTAATGATTCCAGAATGTATGAGTCCTAGGAGAGGAGTGTCATACTTTGTGTCTAGCCAATACGAGTAATAATTTGCTTCTTGGTGAATAAGTTGGATCTTGCAGTTTCAAGGCCAATTTTTTTTGCTTTCTTTAATTTGGTTCTCATTTTGGATTGAATCGTCTTTTGCTTCTCAGGACATCCACAGAAACCTCGGTTTCCTCAAAGCCTCTCATCCTGTGCCATTTTGAGGCCAAGATGTCCTGTGCAAAGCTCGGCAACACCTGTGAGCAGATTCTGAATTTCAGCAAAATAGCATAAGTTTAACGATCTGAAAGTAATTGCGTGTTTAAAAGGAGTGAAAAAAAAAAAAAAAAAAAAAAAAAAAACCCTATTTACCTAATCCTTTTGCACTGAAAAAAGGGGAAGAAGGAAAAAAACTATTTACCTAATCATTTTGCTAATATGAAGTATAAGGTATAAACTACAACATCATACGGCTAAAAAAAAAATTACCTTAAGTAAATGGATGTGAAGAAAGAAAAAAAGCTATGTTATAGTTATTTTTCCCCAGTGAAGTTGTTCTTATAAGTTTTTGAGAATTATTTTCAAAAAGTAAAAAATTGAACTAAATAAGTCTAAAATTACGATCAAGTTGTTCTATAAATTTTTGTGGAACTATTTTTAACACAATAAGTCCAAAATTATTCAAACGCTGCCTGTTGTGCACAAACATGCACATTGGTATGAAGTTATTGCCAGTTGTACTTGATGCTTTCAGGCTTGTACCTTCATATTGGAGTAAACAAAAAAAATGGGGCGACTTCACAAAGCAAGGCTTTTGCATGACACAATTGCGGATTCTTTTATAACGAGAATGGATTGTGAACAAAATATCAGAGTTTAGAGTATTTTTTATCTATTAATTAGTTTAAAGTTATGACTGAGTATTGTACTTTCTTAAAACTTGTTTTCTTTATTATTATTATTTTTTAATAAAAATATGTTAATATGACAAATTTTAAACTTCATGAATATAATAAAATTAGGTTTCACATTATTTATTTATGTATAATAGATTTTTAATCACGTGTCTATGTATATATAAATATATATAGGTTTCCAAAGATGGGTTTTATATTTGAACTATATGTGTCTTGGACTTGGACTTGGACTCTAAGTTTCCTAAATTGAAAACGACTCCTTGTTTCTTTTTTGGAAATAAACTTTCCAACCTAACTTCACATGCATGCGCACAGTGTATTGTTAACAGAATTCCTAGCCTTTTGTTTTCTGTCTTGCAGAAGCATAACCTTCAACTTAAATACTCAAACTGCAGAAACTATTTTGATTATCTTTGCAGGGTCTCTTTGCACAACGACTGAAGCCTAAACACATGACAATGATGACCAACAAAACCCATATGGTCATCCCACTAAAAGATGAAAAACATCATCAGATTCATTACCAGATTGGTCTGGACTTCCACCTGAATTGGGGGAATCAATCCTTGTCCGATTGTCTGTCACAAAAGCCCGAATATCATCATCAGAGTCTCCACTGTTTGATTAACCGCTCATGCTTCCTGGTCCAGATCAAGACAATAAAAACAGTCATTGCTTATACAATTTGCAAAGAATAAGGTCTACAAGCAGATGATGAATATCCCAAAGGACTTGGGTTCTAGTAGTAATTGTGTTGGATCATCTCATGGGTGGCTGATATTTTTGGATCAAGAAGCATTCCCATACATCTTCAGTCCATTCTTGGAGGATCGGATTCAACTTCCTCTTTTTTACAAAACAAGCATTGATTGTTTCATTGTCTCGAATATTAAGAAAGTTATACTGTCATCAGACCCAAGTCACAGTGGCAACAACTACTAGGTTGTAGTAATATATGGTGTAATTGATTCAAAGCTTGCCTTTAGGAAGTGTGGAGACAGTGAATGAACTGCTTTCCATGGTGCACATCAACCCTATTGTGATATCATATTCTACAATGATCATATTTTTGCTTTAAGTTAAACATGGGCAATTGAAATTTGAGATTTCAATAATTCTATGCCTAAAAAAAAGATGGACATTGATCCTATTTTTCCTAAGAAAAAAGTGGAATTCGAAAATTCTCTTGGAGATGATCTTTATACTATTCGACATTAAATGGTGGAATCAAAGGGCGATCTTTTGCTATTATGAGGTACATTAGAATTATGTTCGCTAGGATGGTGTAGTTCTTCATGAAGCAGATCTTCTTAGTGAAGAGAACCAATACTGGATTTGCCCTTGCATGGCAAAGCTCTTTCACATTTACATGTTGTATTTCAGTCAGAAAAAATGGGTAGAACTGGAAGCATTAGGCGATGATCGCATGTTGTTTTTGGGTGGAAATCAATCAGTGTCATTTTCAGTAAAGGGTTTTCTATGTTGTAAAAGGAATTCAATTTACTTTATGGATGAGCACTATTGGAATCAAATGGGTGAACATGACATATATGGTCATGACACATGCAGGTTTAACGTGTAAAATCAGAGTATAGAACTGATTAATGAAGGTGGTGAAATGTGCAATTTGTATATATTTTTTTTATTAATATTTTAAAAAAAAAAAATTCAACAATAAAAATTTGTTAATATGACAATTTTTAAACTCCATGAATATAATAAAACTAGGTTTCACATTGTTTATTTATGTATAATAGATTTTTAATCACGTGCATAACACGTGCTTTTTCCTAGTATATATAAATATATATAAGTTTCCAAAGATGGGTTTTATATTTGAACTTTCTGTGTCTTGGACTTGGACACCAAGTTTCCTAAAATGTAAATAACTTTTTGTTTCTTTTTTGCAAATGTACTTCTCAACCTAACTTCATCCGCGTGCGCGCACAGTGTATTGTTAACAGAATCCCTAACCTTTTGTTTTTTGTCTCGCAGAACCCTAACATTTTGTTTTGTGTCTCGCAAAAGCATAATCTTCAACTTGAATACTCAAATTTTAGAAACTATTTTGATTATCTCTATAGGGTCTCTCTGCACAACGATTGAAGCCTAGACATAGACACATGACAATGATGGCTAACAAAACCAATTTGGCTCATCCCGCCAAAAAGAAAAAAAATATATCATCATATTCATCACCAGATTGGTTTGGACTTTTATCTGAATTAGGGGAATGAATCCTGAACCGATTGTCTATCACAGAAGCCCGAATATCATCACTAGAGTCTCCACTATTTGATCAACCATTGCTCATGCTTCCTGGTCCAGATCAAGACAATAAAAATAGCCGTTGCTTATACAATCTTGAAAAGAATAAGGTCTACAAGCAGCTGATAAATATCCCAGAAGACTTGGGTTCTAGGACAACCCTCTCAATGTATATAATAAAACTAGGTTTTACATCGTTTATTTATGTATAATTTTTTTTTAATCACATGCATTGCACATGTTTTTTCCTAGTATATATAAATATATATAGGTTTCCAAAGATGGGCTTTATATTTGAACTCCCTTGTCTTGAACTTGGATTCCAAGTTTCCTAAATTGAAAACAACTGTTTATTTCTTTTTTGGACATGAACTTCCCAACCTAATTTCATACGTGGGCGCACATAGTGTATTGTTAAAAGAATCCTTAGCCTTCCTTTTGTTTCCTGTTTTGCATAAGCATAACCCTAACACTAGCCTTTTGTTTTATATCTTACAGAACTTTAACTTTTGTTTTCTGTCTCGCAGAACCCTAGCCTTTTTTTTTTTTTTTTTTTTTTTTTTTTTCTGTTTCGCAGAACCTTAGCCTTTAACTTAAATACTTAAACTTCAGAAACTATTTTGATTATCTCTGTAGGGTCTCTTTGCACAATGATTGAAGCCTAGACACATGACAATGATGACCAATAATACCTATCTGGGCCATTCCGCTAAAAGAAGAAAAATATCGTTAGATTCATCACCAGATTGGTTTGGACTTCTATCTGAATTGGGGGGATCAATCCTGAACCGATTGTCTATCACATAAGCTCGAATATCATCACCAGAGTCTCTATTATTTGATCAACCATTACTCATGTCTCCTGGTCCATATCAAGACAATAAAAACAGTCGTTGCTTATACAATCTTGCAAAGAATAAGGTCTACAAGCAGCTGATGAATATCCCAGAGGACTTGGGTTTTAGTGGTAATTGCGTTTGATCATCTCATGGGTGGCTGATATTTTTAGATCAAGAAGCATTCCCATACATCTTCAGTCCATTCTTGGAGGATCGGATTCAACTTCCTTTTTTTTTGCAAAACAAACATTGATTGTTTCATTGTCCCGGATATTAAGAAAGCTATATTGTTATCAGACCCAAGTCATAATGGCAACAACTACTGGGTTGTAGTAATATATGGTGTAATTGATTCAAAGCTTGCCTTTTGGAAGTGTGGAGATAGTGAATGGACTGCTTTCCATGGTGCACATCAACCTTATTGTGATATCATAACCTACAATGATCATATTTTTGCTTTAAGTGAAACATGGGCAGTTGAAATTTGGGATTTCAATAAATCTATGCCTAAAAAAAATATGGACATTGATCATATTTTTCCTAAGAAAAAAGTGGAATTCGAAAATTCTCTTGGAGATGATCTCTATACAATTCGACGTTATATGGTGGAATTAAAGGGCGATTTTTTGCTATTATGAGGTACATTGGGAATTATGTTTGATGGGACGGTGTAATTCTTCATGAGGCAGATCTTCTTGATGAAGAAAACCAATACTGGATTTACCCTTACATGACAAAGTTATTTCACGTTTACAAAGTGTATTTCAGTTAGAAAAAATGGGTATACTTGGAAGCATTAGGCGATGATTGCATGTTTTTTTTAGGTGGGTCAGTGTCACTCTCAGCAAAGGGTTTTTCATATTATGAAGGGAATTCAATTTACTTCACGGATGAGTACTATTGGAACAAATGGGTGAGCATGACATATATGGTCATGACACAGGCAGGTTTGACATGGAAAATCGGAATATAGAATTGATTAATGAGGTGGTGATATGTGTAATTAGGGGTTTTTTTTTTTATTAATATTTTTGTTTTAAAAAAATCAATAATAAAAATTTGTTAATATGACAAATTTTAAACTCCATGAATATAATAAAACTAGGTTTCCATTGCTTATTTATGTATAATAGATTTTAAATCACGTGCATAACACGTGCTTTGTCCTAGTATATATAAATATATATTTGTTTCCAAAGATAGGTTTTATATTTGAACTCCCTGTGTTTTGGACTTGGACTCCAACTTTCTTAAAGTGTAAACAACTCTTTGTTTCTTTTTTGGAAATGAACTTCTTAACCTGACTTCATACCTGCACGCGCACAGTGTATTGTTAACAGAATCCTTATCCTTTTGTTTTTTGTCTTGCAGAACCCTAGTCTTTTGTTTTCTGTTTCGCAGAAGCATAACGTTTAACTTAAATATTCAAACTTTAAAAACTATTTTGATTATCTCTACAGGGTCTCTTTGCACAACGATTGAAGCCTAGACACATGACAATGATGGCCAACAAACCCATCTGGGTCATCCCGCCAGAAGGAAAAAAACATCATCATATTCATCACCAGATTGGTATGGACTTTCATCTGAATTGGGGGAATCAATCCTGAACCGATTGTCTATTACAGAAGCCTGAATATCATCACTATAGTCTCCACTGTTTGATCAACTATTGCTCACGCTTCCTGGTCCAGATCAAGACAATAAAAACAGTTGTTGCTTATACAATCTCGTAAAGAATAAGGTCGACAAACAACTGATGAATATCCCAAAAGACTTGGGTTATTGGACAACCCTCTCCATGTATATAATAAAACTAGGTTTTACATTGTTTATTTATGTATAATAGATTTTTAATCATGTGCATTGCACGTGCTTTTTCCTGATATAATATAGGTTTCCAAAGATGGGTTTTATGTTTGAATTCCCTGTGTCTTGGATTTGGACTCCAAGTTTTCTAAATTGAAAACAACTATTTGTTTCCTTTTTGGACATAAACTTCCCAACCTAAATTCATATGTGCGCACGCACAGTGTATTGTTAAAAGAATCACTAACCTTTTGTTTTCTGTCTCACAGAAGCATAACCTTCAACTTAAATACTTAAACTTCAGAAACTATTTTGATTATCTTTGCAGGGTCTCTTTGCACAACGATTGAAGCCTGGACACATGAAAATGATGGCCAACAAAACCCATCTGGGTCATCTCGCTAAAAGAAAAAAAATATCTTCAGATCATCACCAGATTAGTTTGGATTTCTATCTGAATTGGGGGAATCAATCCTGAACCGATTGTCTACCACAGATGCCCGAATATCATCACCAGAGTCTCCACTGTTTGATCAACCATTACTTATGCTTCCTGGTCCAGATCAAGACAATAAAAATAGTGGCTGATTATATAATCTTGCAAAGAATAAGGTCTACGAGCAGATGATGAATATCCTAGAAGACTTGGGTTTTAGGGGTAATTGTGTTGGATCATCTCATATAGGTGGCTGATATTTTTGGATCAAGAAGCATTCCTATACATCTTCAGTCCATTCTTAGAGGATCGGCTTCAACTTCCTCTTTTTTGGCAAAATAAGGATTGATTGTTTCATTGTCCCGGATATTAAGAAAGCTATACTCTTATCACACCCAAGTCACAGTGGCAACAACTACTGAGTTGTAGTAATATATGGTGTAATTGATTTAAAGCTTACCTTTTGGAATTGTGGAAATAGTGAATGGACTGCCCTCATGGTGCACATTAAACTTATTGTGATATTATTGAAGAGAACCAATACTGGATTTGCCCTTGCATGACAAAGTTATTTCAGGTTTACAAGCTGTATTTCAGTGAGAAAAAATTGGTAGAATTGGAAGCATTAGGCGATGATCGCATGTTGTTTTTGGGTGGGAATCAATTAGTGTCACTGTCAGCAAAGGGTTTTCCATGTTGTAAAGGGAGCTCAATTTACTTCATGGATGAGTACTATTGGAATCAAATGGGTGAGCATGACATATATGGTCATGACACATGGATAATCAGAGTATAAAACTATGAAGGTGAAGATGATCTGCAAAAAATTGAACGAACACCAATTTGGGTTGTTCCTAATTAGCATACTTTTTTCTTCTTATTTTTGTTTTCTTATGAATTATTATTTTGTGTATTAATACTGGAGGTGAAATTTTGAATTGCATATATATGTTTTTTATTTTGATTTAATCAGTAAGAACTTGGGTTTTTTTATCTATTTGGCTATATGTAAATCTGTTCATACTTGTATCTTCAATCTTATACTACAAGCTGGTGGGCACAACTAGTTTTACTTGATTGATATAGGTCAATATATGCTTGAAGATGGTTCTCCATTTTATTTTTTTTTAACAAAAACTATACAAATGCATTCGAAAAAAGGATCCACCACCTTCTATCATATTCAAACCATATTGATTTAACTCTTCGGGGGTGTTCAATATAACACAATCTCCCTTTCTATAATTTATTAGAAAATTGTTTGGCATATGAAATAACCGACTCAATCAAATATCACTCTTAATGGGTGTCAACTTTTTTTCTTTCAGCAAGTAAATGGATAACTAAATAAAGAATCTCACTCTTGCGAGGCTTCATTGATGATTTTTCAATACTTAAGTGCCTTCTAATCATTAATCGGCCTTACGAACGTATAAAATTTGACAACTTCAAGTATGTAACAAAGTTAGAAAACGACACCTTAACAACCAAAAAGTGAAAAAACAAACAAGGTATCCCCATCAACTGCTAGCTTCAATGGGTCTGCATAACGATCTTAGTCAAAATAAATTATATGCTGATTTTGGTGTTGCCTTCAGGTGTCTTAACAATACCAAAATTATATTTGTCGAGAATTTGATTGGACTGGGATCCTCTAAGTTAAAATCTCTCTACATTATCTTAAGTTGAATTGTTATGATTTTAACATGTGTCATTTCACCTAAATCTAGTGCTGATAGCTCCACATAATTTAGTGATAAAAAAGGCTTGAAACGATAATGTTTTGAGGAAAAAAAACTATTTTAGGTTTCCAACCACTCACCTCTCTTTACCAGTATTATTGGTTTTATTTATTTATTATTTTTATTTTTTTCCGTTTTATCTTATGCAACTAGATTCACCGATTTCTTCACCTTTCATTGTTTTTCCTCTATTCTAATTCTTTTTTTATCTTTAAACCTGAACTTTGTTGTGATACCCTTGATTTCAGAACACTGGTTAATCAAATCCGCGCACAAAATCAGGGAATATAAAAACAATTAAAGTATTTCAAACAAGCAGTACAAAAAGAAAATAAAAAAAATAAATAACTCGCTGAAGGAAAATCTATTAAATAATAAATTCATTAATAATTCTCCAATAGTCAAACAACACACAACAATCATCATATCAATCACGAAATATAATTTAATTAAAACAAGACAGTTAATCTAAGCACTCAATTTAAATCAAACAAATTATTTCAAAATAAAATAAAATAAATTAATCCCAATTAATAAATCTTTTAAAATATCGGTATATTACATTTGCTCCTTCTAATTTCCTCCCACTGGACATCAAGTTAGGTTGTTCAATTTTTTTTTTTTTTTTTTTTTTTTTTTTTTTTTTTTTTTTCCCTTTATTATCTAAATCAATGAGATAATTGTGTTATTTTGAATATATGTTTGTTGATTACAACAAGTTGGTAACTGCATTTGATTCCGTCTAAGTGCAAATTATTCAATCTAAACTGAAAATTAGGGTTTAAACTCACCAATGATCCCCAAAAATTTGCAAACTTCACCACTAATCCATGAAGAACCTACTAGTTTCAGGCATAAGAGACCAAAAAAAATGGAGAGTTGAAGAAGTTTTAGCATTCTTTAACTACGTCTCTCTGTTCATCGGTTAAACAACTTTTGTTTTTAATTTTTAATTTGCTGATGTGGTGCATTATGAGTCATAAATCTTTGATAAAGACCACATATCAAAGTTTCTAAGATTTAATTTAGAATAATATAGAGAAGTTTAAACTTAGAGGATCCTGGTCCAATTTGACTTGGTTCTTTATTACCAACTAGTGGAGAGGAATGTCCTTTTAAAACTTAATTAACTCATATGATCAGTTAATGGTGAATTTAGCATAAAATCAGCATATCAATTAGCTTTGCATCTTAAACCTTCAAAAGATTCTAGTATTAGGGTCGGTGTAAGTTACATTAACCAAGATAAGAAACAACAGTGGGTTACCGTATGGAATCTTAAAGTAAATTCTAATGTGAAACATTTTATTTGGAGAAGCATGCATGATCAAGCAACGGTGCTGGAAAATTTGATGAGGAGAAAGGTGGTGATATGCGCAATTTGTGGGTTGGAACCTAAGTCTTGTTCACATGTTGAGTAAGTGTTACGTGAAATAAATAAATATATAAGATTCCAAAGGTACAATCTTTCTTATTGTACTTCACATGTTGTGTAAGTGTCACCTGAACTAAATAAATATGAAAAATACTCAAGTCCTGTAGATAGATTTGGTCCTCCAAGCTGAATTGACTAATAAAAAATTACACCTCTGTTAAATTTTAAAAGATACAAAGCATGATGATACCCATTTAGTTCGGATTAAACCGGACAGATCCATTTCTTTTTTGTTTCCCTCTCATCCCATGTATGCAAGTCTCCATTTCTTTTTGTTTCTCCTTGCTCTCATTTGCATCTCTCTCACATCATGCTCCCATGTTCTTAGATGGTGCCTCACCACATACTGCAAAGACTAATGAAGAATGATGGAGATAATGCCAATTTGTAGAATAGTAATGGAGGTTTGGCAGCAACCCTCCCTGGGGAATCTATCTCTAGTGCCATATATTGAAGTCCATCGCCGCCCCATCTGTCTCCCAAACCCCCCACCTCACTGTCCCCCAAATCGCCGCCCCCGGAATCTCCCCCACCTCACCGTCCCCCAAATCGCCTCCGTCCTGGATCCAAGCATTGTTCAGGAAACAAAAGGTTTATTCAGAAGAAAAGGCAGAATAAAGAAAGATCCAAACCCAAATGGAGGAGGAGATGATAATGATGAGAAGCCCAGAAAATCCCTCTAGTGACTCCATTTCCGATCAACCCATCACCACCACTTCCACTTGCCCAACCTTGAAGCTGCAGTACTATAATCCATTTTATTATTCTCAGCACCCACAATATGATCATTGTAACCAACGACAACAAGTACTACAAGTAGATCATCACAAATGTAGGAACAAGCAATTTCAATGTCTCCACCTACCTA